ACATTTTGCTGAGAGTTTTTATCATGAATGGATGTTGAATTTTGTCGAATACTTTTTCAGCATCTATGGAGATGATCATGTGGTTTTTGTCTTTCTTTTTGTTGATACGGTGGGTGTGTCGATGGATTTTCGAATGTTGTACCATCCTTGCATCCCTGGGATGAATCCCACTTGGTCGTGGTGTATGATCCTTTTGATATATTTTTGAATTCAGTTTGTTAATATTTTATTGAGTGTTTATGCATCTACGTTCATCAGGGATATTGGTCTGTAATTTTAGAACAGTTTTTAAAACTGTTGAGAATATACCCATCTTCCCATCTGAGAAAAATGCAAATTCTTGTTACTTGCTGTATCCAGAACCAAACTTTGACCTCTCCTTTTCTCTTTCCAGTGCATACAGGATCCCATGTTGCTCAGATGTAATTGTATCTGAAAATATGTTGGAGAGCAAATTTTCAGATACCATACTCCATCACTTTAAATAATGAAAATAATGCTTTCCCAGGCTCATCCAAAAACCCCAACCATTTCCCCAAAACAATACTAAAGTACTCAAACATCTATATTTTTAAAGTTAAAATACCAACTGTTTTATTATTTAGTGAACTCAGTAGTGTAGTAATTTTGTATGTGGCATGCAACAGATGTGAATTTTTCTTTCTTCACTATAGTGAGCAAGTACTATAGTGAAATGAAGATATATAATGATGGCAGTAAGACATAATACATGCAAATAATATTTAGCAAAATAGTCTTATTTTATAAGTTACTTACCATCTGAAGAGTAGCCTCAGTCAGGTTTGGTGACTAGAGCAGGAGGTGGTGGCTGTAGTCATTGTTGCTATTGGTAGTAGTTGGTAGCAGAGATGAACACAGGTAAACAAGAGGGAGCTGCTAAGGAATCAGTGAAAGAGGATGAAATGCTTTTTTAAACAGAAAGCTGCAAGTCTGAGTACTGTTGAAAAATGACCACAGCTCACTCTTGTCTCACTAGGATTCACATGCAACTTACGTGTTTTTGCTGGTGTGTAAGAAGAATATTTGAAGGTTATCAGAGGAAATATGCAGATAGGTAGAGTAGAATATTAACGGATACTACAACAGTCCTTTTCTTGACCATTGTTTCACTAGATACACAGACTTAAACTTTGAGTCCTAACTTCTTTCTATTCTATATCACATCAATTCTCACATCCCTGGGTTCCTCTTCCTTCCTCACAGCTATTCAGTCCTTTTCATTCCCAATGTTGGTCTAATTCAGATCCTCTTTTTATTCCTAGACTGGTTAAAATCTCCTTTCCCCCAGGGCTTTCCACCTCCAAGATTCTTACTCTTTTCACTGTTGGAGGATACCTTTTGTGAAAGCGTACCCTTGAATCTATTTCTCCCCTATTCTCAAACCTTTACACCTCGAATTTAAGACTCTACAGTTGGATTCTGACCTGTTCTCTGTTTTGCTCTCCCGTTCTAAGCAAAATTGATCTGCTTGCTTTTGTGCCACATTAGCCACTGTTGCATTGGCTCTTCCTCTTGCTGATCCCTCGCCTGTTTACTCACCAAAATAATACCTGTCTCACTTGTAAAGTAGTGTTTTTAAGAGCAAACGACAGTCCCGTATGTTCAGGAGTGGGTAAAATAAACCACAGTACTAAACATACTAAAGTCATCACAACTACTGACATACTGCTTACTATGTGGCAGTTCTAAGGGCTTCACATATTGTACTTCAATTCATAGTCAACTATGAGATAGTATATTCATTCCCATTTTACAAGTGAGTCAGGCATAGAAAAGTTAGGTAACTTTCCTGACATTGTACTGTTAGGAAGGGACATAGTACTACCAAGTAGATTTTTTAAAAATAAAGTTCTTCACATATAGTTACAGAAGCATCTCCGAGATAAATCAAGTGAAAGAGTGGTATACAACAGTATATAGTATGCTCCCATTTTTATCAGGGGGCAGTATACATATTTATTTGTATAAATATAAAATGCCTGTGGAAGGAAGGACTGAAACTAGGAGTGATGTAGGGAGGAGAAATGGGTAGCGGAAGGAGTAGACTGGGAGGATAGTTCTTCACAGCATACTGTGCCTTGATACCTTTTGAGTTTTTTTAACCATAGGAAGTTAATATTTATTTTAAAAAATTTTTTAATATTATCTGTCTTTTGAAGGCCAAATTCATGTGTCTTCTCTTCCATGAATCTTCACTGATTGCCTCAGCCAAAATTGAGGTGCTTAAAATTGTTTCTTTATATTTTTGCCTGCTCATGGGGTCTTTAAAAATTTATATATGAGTTATTAGTCAAACCTACCTTCTACATAGCTCTCTGGCACCAAGAGCAACAAGTATAGTACCTTATAAGAGGTAGTTGTTAAAGGGAAAATGAATGCACAGAGATAGAAATCAGATTAGTTTTTACCTAGAGTAGGAGAAAGCAGGTTGACTTGAATCTGCCATGAAGGGACTTTGACAGAGAATGGAAATGTTCTATTTCTTGATTCAGATGGTAGTTGCATAGTATATACATTTATCAGAACTTAAAATGGGGATACATTCCTTTTACTGTATGCAAAGTAGACCTCAAAACCTTTTTGTTAAGTATTTGTGCCTAATTTCATTCACATTGTTCTATTCACTTTTCAATAGTTCTGAAACACAGATGACATCAGGTGGAAAAGGAAGTAAAGTTTCATCTTGTAAGCCAATTTTTTCAACTCTTCCTGAAACCAACATTTTAAATGTGGTTAAGGTAGGAAAAGACTTTTTCTGTGTCTTTATGACAGAGCTGAAACCATTTACTTTTGTGGTCAGTGTTTTTAAAATAAAATCACTAGTGTTTTACCAGGTGATTTCCAATCCTGAAATTTCTCAGCAATTATCTTTATGTTAAAGGTTGTTTTTGCTGTTTTTATTTTTATTTTAATATTAGGAATGAAAGGGAACTTTGGTCAGAGTTATATAATTAAAATAACTCTAGGAATACCTTTACCCAGAAGCTTTCAGAAACCAGTATTTTTTTAAACCAGTAGCTTTTTAGAATTAAATGTCTGAAGAAACAAATTATTACTTACAATATAACTTAGTGGTCAAGAATTAATAACTTACTTTTACTGGTTGGATCATAAAGAAGAAAATCTTGAAAAATAGTGAAGAAAATATTTATCATCTGATTCAACTATTAACATGATTATTTCTTGCCTTCTTTGTTCTAGATAGTTGATGTTCTGTTTTCTGTATAGCTCTCTTCTGCATTTTTTGTCAAAAAGTTTTTATAGTTTAAACTCTAAGTTGTCTTGTCTCTGCATTTGTGTCAAAGTTTCTAGGCTTGTGTACATCTATACATCCAGAAGGTTACCAGGATCATGAAATAATGTTGCTGATTTTAATGCTATTTAAAATGAGTTTGGAGAAACAATTGAAACAGATTCCTCTAGTGGACTTTCAAAGCCTCCTGATAAACCTGATGAAAAACATCAGAAACTGGAACACAAAGGTAACATTAATTAAAACTTCAGTACTGTTTTTTTGGGGTGGTGGTGGTTTTTTCGTATAGCACCACAATTTAGCTTTCATAGTGCATGCAGAATTAATAGTTTCTATGCTCAGTTAAGATCTGTAGCAGATGAAAAATAAACTGAAGAAGAGTATTTGCTGAAACTATATTGTTTGACTGAATTCATAATGAAAAAATTTATAACTAAATCTTTTCTAAGAAAACTACAGTTATCCATTCAACAAAAAAATGTGTTTATTGGAGATATACTGTTAGCCAAGCATTAATATAGGTGCTAGAGATACAGCTGTGAAAAAGACAAAGCCCTGGCTCTCCTGGCAGTTTTATCCTAGTCAGAGGGTTAGATTATAAACAAAGTAAATATAGATTATAATATGCCAAGTTGTCACAGGTGCTACAGATTAAAGCGGCACCTGTTTATAGAGAGTAATAAGGCGGGGATGCTCTGCTGTTTTAGATGAGGCAGTCAGGGAAGGCCTTGCTGAAATGATCTTTGAGCAGAAATCTAAATGAACTATGGAGTGAGTCACACATAAAACAAGAATTTGAGTTGAATTTCTGCAGCCATAGGGAGGGTAAATGTATAATTCTGTTAAGTTTCTTCTAATTATTTTTTTCGACCTTTTGTTGGTAGAAAATTTCAAACCTGTGCATAAGTAGAAGAGTGTAATGAACCCTTAAGCCCCTATTACCCAGCTTCAACAATTATCAAGACATAATCTTGTCTCATCAGTTACCCTCATCCCATACTTACTTCCCTTATGCAAGGATTATTTTGAAGCAATTCTGTTAGACTTTAAATACTGGAATAGTTGAGGATCCCCCATGGATTCTAGACTCCTTGCTATTTTGTTAAAGAAGTGCTCTTTTTGTAATAATGTTTGCATAAGGGTAAGAAGGGATGTGGAATGATCTGTTGGCTATTTAATTCCACTGACTTATTTGAAAAGTCTTGTTCATTCTTTATTTTCAGGTCCCTGAGCTCTGTCTGGCCCTAAATGAACTCTCCAGTCATCCCCACAACCTTCTGTGGTTGGTACAGCTGGTCCCTAATTGGACATCACATGGAAGGTATTGAAAAGTGAGAATTAAACATTAAGAGCATTTTTATTTATACTAGTGAAATGCTTTTGGGTCTTTTATTTCCTGTCATCATTCCTTGAATGTTAAATCAGAGTCCGTTATTTCATATTCATCTGTGGGAAAAGGCATTGACAGCACAATTCTGATACTTAAAACTCAGATCATTTTGTAATATTCTTGATTTTTAGTTTTAGCTAATCTGCTAACAATATAGATGGTATATATCTTGAAAATGAATGAATTAGCATTTTTTGCTTTAGGGGATCAAATAAATTTTCTATTAGTAAATCAACAAAGATAAAGGTTCCTCATAATTTGCCAGAAGCTTCAGGCAACTCTTAACCAATGTACACATATTTTACATGAAAATTTTACTTTCTATCAAAGTTTATATTTTCTCTGCAACACTCTTGAAACACTAGCTATGTTTCCAATTAGAAGAACTAGAGAATTCCTATTGGCTCACTCATTTGCTTCTCAAACAATAGTGATTAAAATGCATTTTAAGTATGTTAAAATTCTATTTCCAGGCAACTGAGACAGTGCCTCAGCCTAGTGATTATTTCAAAGCTTTTAGATGAGAAACATGAAGATATCCCTAATGCCAATAATCTGCAGGTAAAAGTAACATTTTTATTTTCTTTTAGTAAATGAGAGAGGTTGTAAGGTATAAGGAAAATGGATGGATCCTAATCAGAAGTCCTAAGGTTAGGTCTTAACTCTCAGGTATAATCTTTAGAATGATGTTTAACTGATGATACCCAGTTTTTTCATCTGTGAAATGGAGATAGTATCACACCCTCTACAGCATGGGATGGTTGTGGGCAGTTAGATGAATTAATATATAAAAACTACTGGGAATATCATAATGTGCTATATAAATATGATATTATTAAATTATTTCATATCAAGATTAGCAATTTATTACAAGCTTAGAAATTACAGAAATATTGTGTATTAATTGCATCTTAAATCTATTATAATATTAAATAGTATTTAAATTGCAGAACTTAAATGTGATTGTCCTCTAGTACTTGCTCAGTAGTGAATATATTGCATATATGTGAGAATGTTCAAACATGTCCTATGGAAGCTCTCCTCTGAGAAGTCCAGAAGGCTTTTTATAGACATTAAAAGCACTAATGGGGCTATCCATACTTGGATTTGAAAATTCAACATAGAACCTAATCTCCATGTGTTCTTGTTTGAACAGCAATTAAGAATGAATTAGAGACGCCGCCCTTAAAAACATAATCTGGTGGATTGAAACAAAATAAACCATCCATTGTGGTACACTGTAGAAAGAACAGTGGTGGAAGTATGCACAAGTTGAGTGGGACTGATTTTTAAAGGGACATCTGGTTTCTGCATTAGCAAGTTGAAGTAGATTTAATTCCAGGTATATGGGGACCACTCCTGAGCCACCAGACAAATAGCGCTCAGTCCTTTCAGTGATATTTACTACCATCAAAAGAGAATTCTTTTCAGAATTCAGTGACATCTACCTACAGGAAGATTCAACTTGGCTTACTATCAAGTAATTTCACAGAGAAAATTCTCCCTTTGACCTCTATTATAATGCCATTTGGTCTCCTCAAGCTTTATCCTCAATTATACATATTGAATCTTTCAATTAAAACCCCTTTTAAGCAATGGAGTAAAGGAGAAATGTATATCACTGGATTATAAAGAAAGCTAAAGGGGTAAAATTAGAGAAGGCAAATGAACAGAGGACACACTGGAAAAAAGTAGTCTAAGAAAGAGCAGCTGTATTATTTAATATTGTCCATTTTCTCCTCTTTCTTTTGATAGATATCAGTCCTACATCGCTATCTTGTACAAATGAAGCCTTCTGATTTGTTGAAGAAAATGGTCTTGAAGAAAAGAGCTGAACAACCAAATGGCACTATTGATGACAGTCTTTATTTGGAGCTTGAAAAGCAGGTATCCAAGGCTAGATTATATCAAAAGAGTACATATGAGCATAACTGATGCCACCTTCCACCGACAGACTGATAGCTTAGGTATTTCTGGATTTGGAGACTTAGATACATTCTAGCAAACACCGTTTTAAAGTGAATGATTTTTTTTATTTATTGCTATCATGAAATTCTTCAGTAAACTTGAGATTTGAGGTAAAAGTGTGGTTGTTGGTAATTTAATACTGGGAGTATTTTTTGTAGCCCTTTACTAGGACAGTGATGAGGTGGTAAAAGAAATGCACTTGAGTTAGAAATCGGAAAGCCTAAGTTAAATGCTTGTGTTTTTCCTACTTAGCAGCTTGGTTAACTTTAGCAAATCCTTAATCCTTCCTGGGCAAGTTTCCTAATGAATAAACTGGTATGTCATGTATGCTAGCTAATGCATGGGTTTTCGTTCTATTCATTTCTCTACCAGGCATATTACCTGACCTACATTCTTCTTCATTTAGTTGGTGAAGTTAGTTGTTCTTATTCTTTTTCTTCTGGACAACGGGTAGGTAGTTTTTAATAATACTTTTTGTTTTTTTAACAAATGTTATTATTATTGATGGAATGAATGAACATTCTTTATCTAGGAAAAAACTAAAGAAATGTTAACCTTGGATTTGCTATAGAAATCCCAGAGTATATTGGAAAGAGATAAGTAATAGTAACCTTGCAATCATACCATTGACAGGAATTATGTGTCTGCAGATGTTAATTTTGTTCATTGGACTGGAGCTTAACCATCATTAACTTAACAACTTTGTGATATATTAATAAGTTTTCAAGGTTACCAAATACCAAGTGGCCCAGCTCTTGACTTCTTTCCATCTCTTCTCCCATTTTACTTCCTTTTTTTTCTTGAGAAATAATATTTGCTTTCAAAATTAAACAGATGGTAAGTCAGACTACTTCAGGGTAAACTCCTAGAATTTACTTCTTTCACTGATATAAAATATCTAGAGTAAACTAAATTTTACAAATTTTAATTATTTTAAAATAGCTGTTACCACATTTTCCTCCCCAAAAGTATCCATTTACATTCTCACCTTAGAATAGTCAACCTTAGAATATATATATATAACAGTAACTGTTTCAGACTATACACTTAGAAAACTTAAGACACTTAATTTTTCAAGGAACTACTTTTAAAGCTTGTTTTCTTCATAGAGATAAAAATAGGTTAGCTGTTATTTGAATATTCCATTAGAGAATGTGTTTAAAAGAAGGACTCTTTAAATTTCTGGTCATTGCATCATGGTCTGAGCTCTAGGCTAGGATTAGTTTTCATTTATGTGCCTTACTACATAGCAAAACAGCTCTTATTTTTGTGTATATTTTTTTCATTAACTGGTAATAAACCATAACAGTCTTATTGTTGTAGCAGTTACTACTTTCACTGATATAACTGCTATTAATGTTGGATGGTTAACATTAGAAATTGCTAACTGGAGAATTACTGAGTTTTAAGTGATTGTTAGTTTTATAATCTCTGTTAATTTGTAGTGCTTCCAAGTCGTTTTTCTCGCTTACATTTGTTTTGCACAGAAACACTTCGTGCACCTCTGTGGAGCTTTGGAAAAGCATGTTAAGTGTGATATTAGGGAAGATGCAAGACTGTTTTATAGAACTAAGGTACGTGTATGTTTTTCTTATGTATTTTTTGTTTGTTTGTTTTACCTTGGTTATGTTAATATTTGGGAAAAAGAAACAGGCCTCTCTTTAAAAAAGAAGAACATGTTAAGTTAGAAATAGGACTTTTCCCCTATAATAACAGGAAACAGTTTCTAAGTACTGCTAGGTTAGATTGAAAGTGAAAGGGAGAAAAGATCTCAAAGGAAGTATATTTTTCAATTTACTATACTTTCTATTCTAAAACTCCTGATACTTCTGAGGAGAAAAATTCTGCCAGTATTCATGAAACTTAGTTTTTTCCCATTGTACAAATGAAGACCTTTCTGCTTAAGTTGACTTAATGGATTAAAGCATTGTTAAAATAAATATAAAAGTTTTAAAACAGTGGTTATAAATATTGTAATGGTTGAAACTTGTTTTGTTGATAGAGAAGGATTAGGTTAGCTGTTATTCTTTGAATATTCCATTAGAGAATGTGTTAAAGGAAGGATTCTTCAAATCTCTTGAGTTCTGCATCACCCAGTCTGAGCTTTAGGATGAGAATGATTCAGCAGTAAGCTTGCTTTTTTACTTTTTAGCTTTAGGTGCATTCAAAGACAGTAGAAAAACCGAATATATAAGTATGTAGTTTAGTAAAGCAATTTTAGTATAAATAAAATTATTTGACATATTTTCCTGAAACATAAAATTAAGCAATGTTTTTTTAAAAACTTTCTCTTCTAAGAACTTTTTATTCCAAATGATCTTTTACTTTTGTAATGTAAAGCTGAATCCTTTTTACCATGTATGTTTGGATAGTCACTGAATGTTAAGTTTCAACTATGTAACTTTATGTCTTAATTACCTATGAAAGTTAGTTATTTCAAGGTTGCCCATTTGGATTCAGTATCATATTTATTTTAGTAGATTTAAGTTAAATACAAAAATGATCAACTAATGAAGTTGTATCAGATTGCAAATTTTCAAATATGTGTGGGAGATAGCTCTTTGCCTTAGAATAGAAACCATAGCTTCGGGAGTGCATTCTTTTGAACATTGACTAGAGTTACTGGCCCATAGAACTTGGTTGTAATGGTTGCTGCTGACAGATATGCTAAAAGGGGACCACCCAAGGTTTAGTTTCTTAGAGCCAAGGGCCAAGCATAGATGGATGCCAGGGCTTCTCTTATTTAAAGTAGAGGGTAACAAAGAGGTCTATGAAAATTGCTTCAGGAGATGGTCCTGCTGAAATTAATGAGTCACATGCCTCTCCATTGGCCTCTAGTAGAAAGGGTGGTGATTGTTTTGGAGAAACTGAATCTGCTGAACTCCAAATGGAGAAAAAAGCAGACCTTGCAATTTACCTTATAAACTTAACAGCAGCTATAAAATTTCTGACTTGTTTAAAACATTTTTCTTAAGCAATTATGTTCAAGAACTAATTGAGAATCTCTAGTGTTGTAGGAAAGTAAGCTTCTCACAAAACCCCAAAATATAGGAATATATCAGGTATTTAAAGAGGATTCAGAGTACTTTGCAAAAAACCTAGAAAGGCATAACAGCTAATTATGGGTCTTCTGATAATACGGAAAGGAACAAATGACAACCATTTAGTGTGGCCTTGGTCTTTCAAATAGAAGCTGGGAAGGCAGGCAGCAGTCTAAGTACTGGGCCCTGCAGTGAAGCCCCCCCTTCACCTTCTCTGTCTGGGTGTTCTAAAGCCAGCAAGGTGAAACTAAGTGTCCCAACATCCAAAAGACAATGACAAATGTTGGCGAGGATGTGGAGAAAGGGGAACCCTCCTACACTGCTGGTGGGAATGTAAACTAGTTCAGCCATTGTGGAAAGCAGTATGGAGGGTCCTCAAAAAACTCAAAATAAAAATACCATTTGACCCAGGAATTCCACTCCTAGGAATTTATTCTCAGAATGCAGCAGCCCAGTTTGAAAAAGACATATGCACTCCTATGTTTATCGCAACACTATTTACAATAGCCAAGAAATGGAAGCAACCTAAGTGTCCATCAGTAGATGAATGGATAAAGAAGATGTGTGGTACATATACACAATGGAATATTATTCAGCCATAGAAGAAAACAAATCCCACTGTTTGCAACAACGTGGATGGAGCTAGAGGGGATTATGCTCAGTGAAATAAGCCAGGCAGACAAAGACAAGTATCAAATGATTTCACTTGCCTGTGGAGCATAAGAACAAAGAAAAAACTGAAGGAACAAAACAGCAGCAGACTCACAGAACCCAAGAATGGACTAATAGTTACCAAGGGGAAAGGGACTGGGGAGAGTGGGTGGGAAGGGAGAGATAAGGGGGGAAATGAGGCATTACAATTAGCACACATAATGTGGGGTGGGGGGTCACGGGGAAGGCAGTATAGCACAGAGAAGACAAGTAATGATTCTATAGCATCTTAGTACACTAATGGACAGTGACTGTAATGGGGTATGTGGGGGGGACTTGATAATAGGGGGAGTCTAGTGACCATAATGTTCAAGTAATTGTACATTAATGATATCAAAATTTAAAAATTTAAAAAAAAAGAAAGAAAATGTAAGTGTCTTGAAGGTAGGGAATTTTTTCTGGATGATCTTTGGTATCTAGTGGGAAAATGGAGTCCTGAGCATTCATTTTTAGATATATTGATCAAGAGAGATCCTCTTCATCAATCTGACTTGAAAGCCTGTCCAGAAGATAAGTAGTTTCTCTTGACAAAAACCAAATTGAGTTATTGATGTAGGCTTACCACAGCTATCAGATATTTTGTATCAAGCATAAAATTGATTTTAAGTTGAAGATGTTTTGATCTGATCTCTTTTCCCCTTTTTGGTATTTCTTAAGGTAAAAGACTTGGTTGCCAGGATACATGGAAAATGGCAGGAAATAATCCAGAACTGTCGGCCTACTCAGGTTTTGTGCTATTAAACAGTTTTATTTATTCTTAATAGTTTTACTAAATGGTATTTCTTCATACTGTTCGAGAAAAGCATGACAGAACTCTTGCTTCTATGTATCTTAAGACAAACTGAAAACTCCAGTATAATAGTTCATGTGTGTTTTTTAGTTTTTGCTTTATATTAATTTATTTCTAGAGGTGTTTGAGCCCATTTAAAAATGTTGTTACATTACATCAAATGGAGATTATTTCATAAGGAGCATTTTTCTTAACAGCTTTTTTGAGATAAAATTCAAACACCATACATTCCATGCACTGAAAGTGTACAGTGGTTTTTAGTGTAAATACAGAGTTGTGCAACTATCACCACAATCTAATTTAGCATATTTTTGTCACTCCAAAAAGAATCCCATACTCATTAGCAGTTGCTCCCCACCATTCCCTAGCCAAGTGCACTCCCATTCCTACTCCTCCCAGGCCCTAAGCAACCACTAATCTACTTTTGTCTGTAGATCTGTCTGTTCTTTACATTTCATATAAATGAAATGATAATACTGTGTGGTTTTTTATGACTGGCTTTTTCATGTAACATAAGGCTACAGCATATATGTCCTTTCTATTGCCAAGTAACATTCCATTGTATAGATGATCCTGCTACATTTTATTTTTCTACCTATTAGATGGACATTTGAGGTATTTCTGATTTCTGGCTATTATGAATAATGTCTCTTTGAATATTTGTGCACAGGTTTTTGTATGAACATGTTTTCAAATGAAAACATCTTGAGCATATACTTGGGAATGGATTGCTGGGTCACTTGGTAATTCCCTAATGACTAATGATGGAGCCTCTTTGCATGTGCTTATTAGCCATTCACATAGCTTCTTTGAAGAAATGTCTATTCAAATCCTTTGCCCTTGTTCTAATTAGGTTTTTATCTTTTTATTGTTGAATTGTAAGAATTTTCCATATATTCTGAGTACAAGTCCCTTATTAGGTACATGATTTGCGAATATGTTCTCCCATTCTGTGTGTTATCTTCTCATCATCTTGATGGTATCATTTGTAGAACAAAAGTTTTTAATTGTAATGAAGTCCAGTTTTATCTTTTGTCCCTTACGCTTTTGATGTTATATCTCAGGGGACTTTGTTTAAGAAGGGCATTGTCATTAAATTTGTTGTTCTGCTTGTTTACAAATCTACTGATGTGGGATTGTCTAAGATAATGCTTCTCAAACTTTAATGGGCATAGGCATCAACTAGGGACTTGAGGAAATGCAGATTTTGTTTCAGTAAGTCTGGAATGGACCTGAGATACTCTACATTTCTTACAGGTTCTCAGATGGGCAGCAGTGTTGCTGGTCCACAGACCAAACTTTCAGTAGATAGGCTCTAGAAGTTGCTTATATTTTATATCAAAGTAATAGGAACACTGAAGATTAGGAAAAGCAATCTCACTATTTTATGTGATTTTGACTCTTGTTGGTGTCCTTCATAAGATACGCATCTTATGAAGATCATAAGATGATCTTCCCTTTCAGAGAAGTTTTTGAGAAATCTTAAACTAATGTTTTATAGTTGTTATTTTAGTTTCTAACCTCAAACATTTGTTTTTTCCTTGGGCATGTCATCTTTCTTTGATGGTGTGGCATTAAAACAAAAGAATTTAATACCAAAACTTTGTTAATCTGCTTAACATTTTACTTAATCTTCTTAAATATGACCCTCCACATGTGTGTGTCAGAGAGAAAAACTTACCTTGTACTTGTATACTTTTTTAAATTGTTAGACCACAAAAGGTGAATTTTGATTGCTATGAATTTTTAGAGAAATGTACAATATAAGGATTTTATTGCTTTTATTATCAAAGCCCATTGTCTGGTAGTTTTATAAGGATTAATTAATAATCTGATTTTCCTTTATCCTATTTTTTCCCCCCTTCTCTTTTCTAGGGGCAGCTTCATGACTTCTGGGTACCAGATTCTTAACAGGAGTTGCAGCAGCAAAAATATGAACCAAGAGAAATTCACTAAGAAAGAACCTTTCCTAGAGGAATAGAAAAGATTACTGCAGAATCCAGTGAAATGCTAAGAAAATGTCCTGCAAATTGCCATTTGAATATCTAGTATGAAGCTGGTAATGAAGAAATTGCCATTTCTGAAGCAGATATGAAATGTGATCTGCTTAATTAAGGCAACTTGCCTTTTAAAAGAGCAAAATCCTATAACAAGAGGGGATGGCTAGAAGCAGCTAATAGTTGCATGTCTAACCTGCCCCTGTTAATTTCTTTTGTTAGATTGTAAGCCAGGTTTTTTTTTTTTGGATTTTTAGCACTTGGATAATCACAGGAAATATTTAAGGAAGGGTTTGGACCAACCTGAGTTGGACTTGAAAACCAAGAGCAAGTTCCAGTTGGTTTTAATTTTCCCTCTTGGTTATTTGCGAACTTTAAGGGAAAGCTCAGAACTGAATTTAGTAACAAAAAGAATAAATATCTTCTGTAACTCCTATAAACCACATGAAGCTTTCAATTCATGCATTTTCCTTCATTATTCAAGATTATAAATCTGTGAGGTTTTTAAAATACATTTCAACAGTTGAGAAACAGAAGTTTGGTATATAATCAGATCCCCTTCATGGGAAGAGGTTAAGCTATAAAATAGTGGCTCTGTTTTTATGCCAAAACATTCATATGTAGTTTGTTTTGGATCTCTTTTAAGTGTTTTTTTTTTTTTCCTTAAATACTGGTTAAATCTTAGAATCTTGGCTAAATTTTAGAATTCTGGCCTTTGGTAGCCATATACGGAAGTTATATTGTAAAAGCTTAAAGATCTGGACAAGTTTCCAAAAATCCTACTTTCATGAGTATATAAGCTTGGCAGAGACCTGGATATTGTTTATTTTGGGGGATGCTACATGTGCGCATGTGTATATGTGTGTATGTGTATGTGTACACACGTGTGTACTTGTGTTCTAAAGTTGTTGCACTTGAAAACCACAGCTGCTCTAGATTCTTAAACACTGGAAAGTCATCCTTTGGTTTAAATGGTGGAGGGTTAGTAGCAGTGCACATGCTGGTCTTAGCCCAAGGGCCCTCTGAAGCCTTTGTTAGTAACAAGACACTTACTAGCTAACTGAAAAATTCTTTTGTTGACTGAGTGTCCCTTGTAGGAGGGTTTGTTTCCTGAAAGAACTAGTGAGTGGGGGGAGAAACGGGGGGGAGAAACGGGGGGTAGGGAATTGGACTTAATGTTTCTGATTTAAGAGGGGAGAAAATAAATTATGAAAAATAGCTACCTCTAAATTGAGTCTTAGGACTTAAAAGCATTTTATCTTAAATATACTGTTTAAAATACTACCGGTAACTTTTGAGTCCATGTTAAGCATTGAGCAGTTAGAGGCTTTACAGGGAAGACTAAGTAATCCAGTTCCCAAGAACCCCAGCTGAATGAGGCTTCAAGAGTCAGACCAACAAAAGTTTTATTCTGTATTGAGTTTACTGGTGAGAATATTATCTTGATACTACCTCTCAAGGGTGTTGTTAGAAAATGCCACTTAACAGTTAATGAGATAGATACAAAGACTTATATTTGACAGATGCTTGAAACTCTGGCATCTGCCCAACAGGGGGGCTTTCTCTCTCTGTAATTTAATACTTTGTAGATACATTATTTGTGTGTAATTTTATAGTGTTCATATTTTTCTCATTTTGCATTGTGTAAAGTGTACAAAATCTCAAAGTATAAAAATACTGCTTATATTGCTTGTAATTACAGCTTGTAAATATTTTCTAGTTGTGTATATTGATGGGACAAGTGGGTTTATTCAGGTTTTTTTTTTTAATGACCCTTTTATATTGCAGTTTCAACCGATAACTGCCCATCAAATTTAAAACCACTTTGATACATTTTTATTTAGCAGTTCCAGTAAGAAAAGTCTCTACTTTTAATTGTCTTTCTCTATTAGAGAAAAATAATTTATCTGTCCCTTTAAAGTAGATGGCCCAACATCAGTTTGGGCCTTTGTACTGATGACTCTGGTAGATGTCTTCTGTCTCCAGGTCATATTCCAGTCAGTATTTGCATTTGGGTTCTCATAAAAAGTTTGTGGTTCTCCTTTAGCACAGGTAGCCTGTGGTTTCTCTCCCAAGTCAAGCATTATCCTTCTCCCTCTTAAGTCCCCATGCTTTGTCTCCCTCCTGCTGCTGTTGCCCAGTGAATGGGACAGTAGAAGGGGAGAAAATGTTTATTGCACAGAAAATGTCAGGCCACTTTTGGGACTAGGCAAACAAAGCTTGCACTGGGTGGTGGTGTGTTTGGCAGTTTCACTGTGCCAAGAATCACTTTGTCTGATCTCCTGGATATGTATGTCAAACTTACTACCCTATTGCAAGCTGAAAATTAAGGTACTTGGGTTTATGCTTTTGTGTGTAACTATTTGCCTTTTCTAAACTGCTTTTCTTGTTATCCAAAAATATTATTCTGTTAGTTATATCATGTTAAGTGAAGAGGCTCTCCATGCACAAAATGCATCTATGTAGCAGTAAAGAAACAGCATTTGTATATTTTCTGTCTCCTGATGGCAATGGTGCCTTTGTCACCTTTTGGAAGGTTGGCATTTTGTTTTTGTTATGAAGTACAAATAAGTAGTAACTTGCTTTTGACTTCACAAAAATCTCCCCAGATGTAAAGATAGAAAATGGTGTGTTTTCAACCAGGCTCAGTTGGAGCATTTGCTTTTTTATTTCTATCAAAATAAGTATAGTTGGTGGGGACTGGCCAGTGATAATGTGTGGAGTCTGTAAACCAAGAGTAATTTTTAAATGGAAAAAAAAATAAAAATTGAAGAGGTGACCTATTAACAAGTGACTGAATTGGAGAATTGAGGAGGATGTCCTGGTTTGTCTCTAAGGAGGCAAGATTAGGGTACAGGTGGCTGGACATGTAGAGCATGAGCTGTGGTTATGCTTACTCATTAACAGTGTTGGGGCACCTCATTATCTGTGCATTTGTTTCTCTGGGCAGTCCTGTCAGCCAGTTAATCCACCAGCTCTTAGGCAGTTTACAAGTAAATGCAGATTTCCTTTCTTCCTTTTTTTTTTTTAAGATCTTATATTACATCTTGTTTAAAGTCCTATGAATGTATGTGTGTGTTATTAAAATTGCTTTTTCTCAGTTTGAACATGTGTTTGGTAATATTTGTTCAGGAGTGGGAATGGTTAAGTGCTTAGAATATCCTGTTTCTTCCCCTGCCCTATCTCCTAGTTTTGAAACTGATTTCTTCCTTTCTTCTTCTTAAGATTATCCAGCCAAATTTTTAGCTTGATATTTCCTGTTGCTAGAATACATAAAGCCATAGTTGTATACAGATGCAAACATAGCTGTATACAGTAAAAATTTTGCTGTATACTTTGCTGTCAGGAACTTAGTACTCTCATTCTTACATTACCTTACTAGCTAGGTTCATTCAACAACTAGTACCTGCTGCATACTATGCACTCTTTTTAGGATGCAGTGAACAGCATATACAGCTCTCATGAATCTTACCTTCTGATATCCAGCTGAAAATTATTTCTGTTATTGGTCAAAGAGGACTGGAAAAGAATACCTGTGAACTGGCTCCCTTGTTCTAGAGTCCAGAGCCAAGAAAGGTGAAGCCATGCAATACAGTGGCAAGGTTCAGGACCATCTGCAAACTGCCAGGCAGAGCTCCACATACATCAGCTGGAGGGGGACATAGGTTGACACTTTCTCATAGAACTGTTCTTATGAACTCACAGAAGGGCTAGGCATGGTGATCAGAGGCCTCAGGTTCCAGAACCATGGCAGTATTTATTCCTTACGACAGGATTAAGAGGAAACCACCTGTGAGCATTTTTCTCTGATAGTGGGCTGGAGGGGTTGGGTGAGTGACAGCCCAGGCAAAAGCAGAGACATGGCCTTAAAGCCTTAATGGGAGGCAGGCAGCACAGCCTTGTATAAGTTAAGGAAGGGCCTTGACCTTGCCTTTAGTTCTGACCTCAGATCCCAGATTCACCAAAGCAGCCATTTGATCTTTGCCAAGCTAATCTCTCTGCCTTAGTTTCTTCATATATTAAAAGGAATAATAACAGTGTCTATCTCAGTATTTGTGAGGACTAAATGATCTAATGCATAAAAAGTGCATAGCAAGATGCCTGGCTTATAGCAAAACTTAATAAATGCTAGCTGTTAAGTCATTTAGCTCTGATTACAGGCTTTCCTCAGACGACAAAATTGAGCCTAAGGTACTTGGAGGTTGTGCGGTACCTGAGCAAACCATGTCTTAAAATTGTGCTGGTGTGCTCTATTCCTCCTGACAGAGAGCTCTAGAGACTTCTCTGTCCAGCTCTGCTTATAAAAAAATGTGACTTTTTTTTAATAACACAACATGCTAAAGGCGAGAAGGGGTGGGTGGGGATTTTCCAGCATTTGCGGACATGTCCTGATACTCCCTTTTCCTTGCTAACCGTTTCCCAGGCTGGAGTCAAGAGAGGGCAAACCAGAAGGCCCAGCTTTGGGTCTGACTCCAAGACGACTGACTGGGAGGAAAACTTAACAGGCAAAACAGGCTTCTGAGGCCCAGTGGAACAAGTGAGACTACAGCAGTGCGGCACTGGTGATGGTCCCTGAAGAAGCTGTATATGTGGCCAAAATAAAGACCACATCACCTAAAGAGAGTGCTGGGCAAACCAGAGGTGGAGATGGCAAAGCAGGAACAGAAATGCTGCCACAGTGAACAGGAAGCAGGACAACTTGACTAGGCCAGAGTTCTCTTGCTTCAGGGAACCTCTGCTCAAGTTACAGGAGTTCATACCTACCCCCTTCACCTAAGATCCCTGCTACAGTGAGTAACTGCTTTGTGCAAAGCCTGGAGCCAGACACTCGTGTGTAGGTGGCTAAGGACAACCAGCACTGCTCAGCCACTCTCACTGTGAAGCTGGGAGAATAACTTAGCAAAAACAAAACCCACATTTCCATTTGCTGTGAAGTACACTGAAGGTTTTCCAGTGGGACCTTTCGCGGCCACCCTGTGAAGCAGCTAGGGTAGGGACTTACAGATGAGTAACAACCTGCTCAAAGAGTGCCCTGCCTGTATCCCAGGACACATTCATGGCCAGGCTAGGAGTCACTTCTTGGTTTGATTTCAAGTCTTAAGTCAGTATTCACCTCATTCATAGTTTATCAGCTTTATTTGCAGAAAGGAGTATTGTCAATCAGAGGCTTCCTGTGGAAAGCTCCTTTTAATTGCTATCACATCTGATCATTTCATTAGGTTCAGAGATTGAAGTAGGAGGATAGCAAAGAGAAAGGGGTTGTGTTCTGAATCTATATTATTGGAGGTACTGGAGTAACTGCCCAGCTGCAGTTCAGCAAGTGCCATGGCTGGAACCCAGCATTATTGTGATTTACATATACTGTTCATTTGAGAATGTGTGAGGTTCTGAGGCTTTATCAGAGCACCTTTGAGGAGAAAGTCAGGCCTCAATTTAGTGTAGGTGAGTAGGATGCTGAACCTGCCACCAGATCCCTTGGGCCTACTTGTCCCCACCTGTGGTATCTGAGTCAGCTCTGTGAGAACCCAAGCAGCTGTGCCCCTTAGCCCACTGGGCTCCAGAGTTTACTCTCGCTCCTGTCTGGTACTATGGGGCTAACAATCTTCCTGCCCTCACTCCACTGTCACCCCAACCCACCTTCCCACAAGGACTGCGTATTTCTGTTTCTCAGCCATGTCTTTTCTGGTGTTCCCAGTATGGACCTCTTAATCTATCAGCTCTTTCAGGACTTGGTCTATGGTCTTTTCCAAACTACTTGGCTGACATTTCCCTTCTATTTCCCACTAGGAACCCTCCCATCGTATCAAATCAAAGTCACTTAACTCTTAAATGCCCCTTCTGTACTGCCTACTCCCCAACACTGTGCACAACCTTGCACATTGCCCCCTTTGATAATTCTCCTCAGGCTTACCCTGACCCTTCTTTTCTAAGGCTTTTCTAGTCCTGACTGTCCTTTCTGCAAATACCTGAATTTCAAGGCAAGTTACTTAAACACTTAGAATCCACTTTCCCATCTATAAAATGGGGCTATTAATTCCTCAGGATGGAATGAGGGTACAGTCAAAAAATGAATCTGAACACTTTGTAAAAGTGTGTATACACTTTAAGCATTTCTCCCCAGCCACCTCCCCCTCCACACACACACACAATGTTTTACAGAGTGCTGGAGGAGGTGGAAGTGTGATGTGGGCCCTGCTGTCTAGCAGTCTGCTGTCACACCCAGCAATTCAAACTACAAGATTGTATATGACGAAGTGCCAGTTTGGGGGAATTCAGAAAAAAGGGAATGACGTCTTTCCCAGGGTCGCTTTTGTTAAATGACAGCTCGAATCTTGTTCATCCACTCTCAGGCCAGTTCTCATCTGCCAGTTACCCTGCGCCCTGCAGCTCCAGAACTCAAACTCCTAGGCACATGCAAGTCAGTTATCTGTGTCCCTGTGGCCCTCATCATTTTAATCCTGCTCTTGGACCCATATCAGTGCTGCCGTACATGAGGGAGGGAAGATCAAGCCAGGTCATGGCTGGAGCTCAGGTTTAATTCAAACCCTAGAGGGTCTGTAATGGGTGACCAGAAGGAGAATTTTATTTCTATCAAAATAAGTATAGTTGGTGGGGACTGGCCAGTGATAATGTGTGGAGTCTGTAAACCAAGAGTAATTTTTAAATGGAAAAAAAAATAAAAATTGAAGAGGTGACCTATTAACAAGTGACTGAATTGGAGAATTGAGGAGGATGTCCTGGTTTGTCTCTAAGGAGGCAAGATTAGGGTACAGGTGGCTGGACATGTAGAGCATGAGCTGTGGTTATGCTTACTCATTAACAGTGTTGGGGCACCTCATTATCTGTGCATTTGTTTCTCTGGGCAGTCCTGTCAGCCAGTTAATCCACCAGCTCTTAGGCAGTTTACAAGTAAATGCAGATTTCCTTTCTTCCTTTTTTTTTTTTAAGATCTTATATTACATCTTGTTTAAAGTCCTATGAATGTATGTGTGTGTTATTAAAATTGCTTTTTCTCAGTTTGAACATGTGTTTGGTAATATTTGTTCAGGAGTGGGAATGGTTAAGTGCTTAGAATATCCTGTTTCTTCCCCTGCCCTATCTCCTAGTTTTGAAACTGATTTCTTCCTTTCTTCTTCTTAAGATTATCCAGCCAAATTTTTAGCTTGATATTTCCTGTTGCTAGAATACATAAAGCCATAGTTGTATACAGATGCAAACATAGCTGTATACAGTAAAAATTTTGCTGTATACTTTGCTGTCAGGAACTTAGTACTCTCATTCTTACATTACCTTACTAGCTAGGTTCATTCAACAACTAGTACCTGCTGCATACTATGCACTCTTTTTAGGATGCAGTGAACAGCATATACAGCTCTCATGAATCTTACCTTCTGATATCCAGCTGAAAATTATTTCTGTTATTGGTCAAAGAGGACTGGAAAAGAATACCTGTGAACTGGCTCCCTTGTTCTAGAGTCCAGAGCCAAGAAAGGTGAAGCCATGCAATACAGTGGCAAGGTTCAGGACCATCTGCAAACTGCCAGGCAGAGCTCCACATACATCAGCTGGAGGGGGACATAGGTTGACACTTTCTCATAGAACTGTTCTTATGAACTCACAGAAGGGCTAGGCATGGTGATCAGAGGCCTCAGGTTCCAGAACCATGGCAGTATTTATTCCTTACGACAGGATTAAGAGGAAACCACCTGTGAGCATTTTTCTCTGATAGTGGGCTGGAGGGGTTGGGTGAGTGACAGCCCAGGCAAAAGCAGAGACATGGCCTTAAAGCCTTAATGGGAGGCAGGCAGCACAGCCTTGTATAAGTTAAGGAAGGGCCTTGACCTTGCCTTTAGTTCTGACCTCAGATCCCAGATTCACCAAAGCAGCCATTTGATCTTTGCCAAGCTAATCTCTCTGCCTTAGTTTCTTCATATATTAAAAGGAATAATAACAGTGTCTATCTCAGTATTTGTGAGGACTAAATGATCTAATGCATAAAAAGTGCATAGCAAGATGCCTGGCTTATAGCAAAACTTAATAAATGCTAGCTGTTAAGTCATTTAGCTCTGATTACAGGCTTTCCTCAGACGACAAAATTGAGCCTAAGGTACTTGGAGGTTGTGCGGTACCTGAGCAAACCATGTCTTAAAATTGTGCTGGTGTGCTCTATTCCTCCTGACAGAGAGCTCTAGAGACTTCTCTGTCCAGCTCTGCTTATAAAAAAATGTGACTTTTTTTTAATAACACAACATGCTAAAGGCGAGAAGGGGTGGGTGGGGATTTTCCAGCATTTGCGGACATGTCCTGATACTCCCTTTTCCTTGCTAACCGTTTCCCAGGCTGGAGTCAAGAGAGGGCAAACCAGAAGGCCCAGCTTTGGGTCTGACTCCAAGACGACTGACTGGGAGGAAAACTTAACAGGCAAAACAGGCTTCTGAGGCCCAGTGGAACAAGTGAGACTACAGCAGTGCGGCACTGGTGATGGTCCCTGAAGAAGCTGTATATGTGGCCAAAATAAAGACCACATCACCTAAAGAGAGTGCTGGGCAAACCAGAGGTGGAGATGGCAAAGCAGGAACAGAAATGCTGCCACAGTGAACAGGAAGCAGGACAACTTGACTAGGCCAGAGTTCTCTTGCTTCAGGGAACCTCTGCTCAAGTTACAGGAGTTCATACCTACCCCCTTCACCTAAGATCCCTGCTACAGTGAGTAACTGCTTTGTGCAAAGCCTGGAGCCAGACACTCGTGTGTAGGTGGCTAAGGACAACCAGCACTGCTCAGCCACTCTCACTGTGAAGCTGGGAGAATAACTTAGCAAAAACAAAACCCACATTTCCATTTGCTGTGAAGTACACTGAAGGTTTTCCAGTGGGACCTTTCGCGGCCACCCTGTGAAGCAGCTAGGGTAGGGACTTACAGATGAGTAACAACCTGCTCAAAGAGTGCCCTGCCTGTATCCCAGGACACATTCATGGCCAGGCTAGGAGTCACTTCTTGGTTTGATTTCAAGTCTTAAGTCAGTATTCACCTCATTCATAGTTTATCAGCTTTATTTGCAGAAAGGAGTATTGTCAATCAGAGGCTTCCTGTGGAAAGCTCCTTTTAATTGCTATCACATCTGATCATTTCATTAGGTTCAGAGATTGAAGTAGGAGGATAGCAAAGAGAAAGGGGTTGTGTTCTGAATCTATATTATTGGAGGTACTGGAGTAACTGCCCAGCTGCAGTTCAGCAAGTGCCATGGCTGGAACCCAGCATTATTGTGATTTACATATACTGTTCATTTGAGAATGTGTGAGGTTCTGAGGCTTTATCAGAGCACCTTTGAGGAGAAAGTCAGGCCTCAATTTAGTGTAGGTGAGTAGGATGCTGAACCTGCCACCAGATCCCTTGGGCCTACTTGTCCCCACCTGTGGTATCTGAGTCAGCTCTGTGAGAACCCAAGCAGCTGTGCCCCTTAGCCCACTGGGCTCCAGAGTTTACTCTCGCTCCTGTCTGGTACTATGGGGCTAACAATCTTCCTGCCCTCACTCCACTGTCACCCCAACCCACCTTCCCACAAGGACTGCGTATTTCTGTTTCTCAGCCATGTCTTTTCTGGTGTTCCCAGTATGGACCTCTTAATCTATCAGCTCTTTCAGGACTTGGTCTATGGTCTTTTCCAAACTACTTGGCTGACATTTCCCTTCTATTTCCCACTAGGAACCCTCCCATCGTATCAAATCAAAGTCACTTAACTCTTAAATGCCCCTTCTGTACTGCCTACTCCCCAACACTGTGCACAACCTTGCACATTGCCCCCTTTGATAATTCTCCTCAGGCTTACCCTGACCCTTCTTTTCTAAGGCTTTTCTAGTCCTGACTGTCCTTTCTGCAAATACCTGAATTTCAAGGCAAGTTACTTAAACACTTAGAATCCACTTTCCCATCTATAAAATGGGGCTATTAATTCCTCAGGATGGAATGAGGGTACAGTCAAAAAATGAATCTGAACACTTTGTAAAAGTGTGTATACACTTTAAGCATTTCTCCCCAGCCACCTCCCCCTCCACACACACACACAATGTTTTACAGAGTGCTGGAGGAGGTGGAAGTGTGATGTGGGCCCTGCTGTCTAGCAGTCTGCTGTCACACCCAGCAATTCAAACTACAAGATTGTATATGACGAAGTGCCAGTTTGGGGGAATTCAGAAAAAAGGGAATGACGTCTTTCCCAGGGTCGCTTTTGTTAAATGACAGCTCGAATCTTGTTCATCCACTCTCAGGCCAGTTCTCATCTGCCAGTTACCCTGCGCCCTGCAGCTCCAGAACTCAAACTCCTAGGCACATGCAAGTCAGTTATCTGTGTCCCTGTGGCCCTCATCATTTTAATCCTGCTCTTGGACCCATATCAGTGCTGCCGTACATGAGGGAGGGAAGATCAAGCCAGGTCATGGCTGGAGCTCAGGTTTAATTCAAACCCTAGAGGGTCTGTAATGGGTGACCAGAAGGAGACATGGCCCAAGTTGAAGGGAAATTGGCAGGGCCAGAGATTGCATGGGAGGACCATCCTAGGTGAGTTAAAGGCGTTCAGGAGTTCATTCTGTGGGGGCTTCCTAGATTGCCGCTGAGTACAGTGACTGAACCTAGGATATTTGATTGCCTAGGGTGAGTTCACTGGAAAATCTAGAGTAAATATGATATTCAAGATAGGCTGCAAGGGAAGCCAGGTGTCTTGAGTGATCCAGAGCCTAAGGAGGTGAACTCCAGTAATATCTAAGACTTGGTTGAATGGACAAGTGCAAATGGTTGTGGCTTATTTATTCAGAAAAAACATTTTCTGTGTGTACTTCTAGTCAAGCTATTACTTTATCTTTCCAGGCCTGATCCCCTTCACCCACTCAGACCTCAAACTGAAGGACCAGGAGTCTGGAGGCCCTTGAGCTAGGAATCAAGACCCTGTTCTGTTGTCAGAGGTGCCCCCAACACTTGTTTACCACCTACTGTGGCCCTCCCCGTCCTTGGCAGAGAGGAGAAGAGTTGGCAGGAGTACAAGAAGTGAGATCCGTGTAAGGGGACAGGCCAGGGGGCCCCGGAGAGCTAAGCCCCCAGAGAACAGGTTTGTCATCCCCAATAGCAGGCAAGTTGGAGGGGGTCCTAGTGCTGGAGAGAAGGTAGGCTTTTAAGACCGTCGAGGGCACGCCAAGTGGTGCGGCCACCACTAGGGGGCAATGCCGGGTCCGCGGCCCTTAAGGATAGAGAAGCCAAATGGTGGAGGACTGTATATGAGCGTTGGCCTCAAACCTGCTCTATTGTTAAGGTTGGGGGTGCGGAGGAAGAGAGTGGCGCCCTTGGCAGCACCCTATCCAGCCGGCCCCGCTTCCCTGGTCCCGCCTTCCAGCCCACCTCCGCCCCCGGCTCCGCCTCCACCTCCGCCCCGCCTCCGGCCGCGGCCCCTTCCTCCCGCAGCTGGTGCTGTGGGGCCGCGGAGCCGCGCGGAGCCCTCTCTATGGCCGGGGATCCGAGCGCAAAGGTGAGAGAGGCAGGGAATGCGGGCGGCGGCGGGGCCTGGGCCGGGAGGCTTAGGCCAGGCCAGGCCTTCCACACATCCAGCCCACCCTCCCCTCCAAGATTGATTGGCCAGGCCTTTCTCACCGCCAAGTCCCCAGGTCCAGCATAAAGGTTATAGAGGGGCGCGGACCAGGCCTCGGGCCGCTATGGGCGCAGACCCGCCACCGCGGAATCGGGGACCGGCGCGGGGCGGGGGCCGCGTGGCGAACAATGTCCCCGAGATCTGGGTCATGTCTCGGCGTCGGGCAGAATCAAAGGAGAGCTTGTCCTCGAACTGCGGCAGCAAGAGAGACTGAGGTTAGACCTAAGGAGAGAAGAGAACAGCGACTGGTCCGGCGTGGTGGAGGGAGGGGGTGGCGGGGGAGGGGCCCTCTGGCCGGAGAGGCGGACATCCTACCAGGTAGCGGGAGATACTGCCACACATCTGGGATGAAGGTCGAGAGCCTGCTGATCCTACATTGATAATGTTTGGGGGACGGGGGGTCTCCCCTCAGTGCCCTCCACTCTGCACCCTGGATCTAATAGTAGGCAGGTGACAAGAGTTCAGGGGGCTGACCCTGGGAAGGAACCCAAACTGTGGAACTGGGGGTGGAGTGTGGGGTATGGACTTGAGACCTTGAAGCCTCTAAGCCACTGAGGAAGGGCGGCTGCTACTCCCCCCATTTAGCCCCGCCCTCTTTCCCAACAGGTTAAATGGGGGCTGAGGTCAGGCCCAACTCCCATATCTAGAACTGCAATATACATAGAAGTAGAGCAGTGCTAAAGTAGGTGTTCCATCCCATCATTCCTTTGCTAAAGCTAGGGACCTCCCTCCTTGTGCCTGGGTTAGGTAGGTACCCCTTCCTTCCCTTGAAGAGTGGCCTTGACCCATGCGTGCATCCCATTTGAGCATCCCAGGCGCAGATGCCCCCCCAATCATCACACACACACACACACACACACACACGGAATTTGGTCTTAAAATTGGGACTCTCAGCAAGGGAGATGGGGTTCTGCTCTACATCTCACCCTCAGTGGGCACTGGCAGCCTCCAAGCCTGCTGTGAGAACTGGACCCCTGTAGGTACATATGCTTGTCTCTGGGAAGATGTAATTGTGTTTGAGTACTTTGTGAACACACATATACTTGACTGTTCTATGAGCATGATGAACATGCCTGACCCACCGTATCATTGGATTTGCTTGCATGTCCCTACATATATGTGTGCATGCTCAGGAACCTCCTGTGAAAAGCTATATGGTCCTTCATATGCACATGTGTGTGGATTTATAACCCTCCTTGCCAGTCTCTAAGGCTATGTGACCTGCTGAATGATGGGGCTTGTGAATATAACCTTACTTGCGAATCTGTATGAACACATGGCAAGTCCTTTATGTGTGCACAAACCTCTCTGTGAATGTGTGTGTGCATGACTCTCCTGTGAGTACATGTGTTTGCAGCCCTCCTGTGAACACGTGCATGTACACTTGCCTGCATGCACATCACCCTCCTCTTGACACAAGTGACTCTTGCGTAAACCTGTGTAAATCTGCCACACACCACACTGAGCAGGCCCTCTGACCCAGGGCGTGTTCCTCCTGCCCAATCCTAGGGAATGACCCTCCCAACCCATAGGGTTCCTTCTGTTTCTTCACTAAGCAAATAAGAGGCCCCCAGTGTAAATAGGTGTGCCTCCACAGTGAGGGGTGGGGCAAGGGCAGTCTGCCTGGGGCCTCCTGCTGCCCCAGTCCCCAAAAGAATTTCTGGTGCCCTTTCTGTCATCCAGGGACCCTTTTCTCTCCACTCATACTCCATTTTCCCCCTCTGGGCTCTGTCCACTATAGTGCTGACCTTTACCTCTTGAATGAATGCTCCAGATTCCTGTTTCACTCTGGCCAGCTCCTGATCCCTCCCCTCTCCTCAAGGCCACATTGTTAATATTTGACCTGGAAGGGACAGGAGAGGACAGTGGCCCCTCTGGCCCTGTCTGTGGGCATCTGATGAGATTGGGTGGGTCAGGCTTCTTCCACACCTAACCCAGCCCAGTCCAAGAAGCCTTCAGGAGCCACCTCAGATATGAGGCCTGTTACCCACTCCAACCCCAACTTGTTGGCTTGAGGGAGAGTCCAGGTGTGGTGAATAGCCTCCAAGATGTGTCAGGGGAGTTGGCTAAGAGCTCAGGGATTGTTCACCTTTTCCATGTTGTTTGCATCTCAATTAACTGGCCTTGCACACTAGCGCCTCCTGCACAGACAGGACACCTGTGCAGCCAGTGGGGCTCATACTCCCCGCTGTGCCCGTGAGTGCTTGTTTGCCGGTAGGGGCATGTGCGGATGCCTAGCAAGAGGGTGCAGTACAGACTCGCGCAGGCAGGGCAGAGATGTGCACCCTCTTTGAGAGGAAAGCTGAAGAGAAGTGTCTAAAGAGAAATTCCAGAGGGAGCTTTCAGGCCAGAGAAAAGAAGAAACAAAAGGAAAACAGGACAAAATAAACAAAGGCCCATTAAACGTCTCCGCATAAGGCACCCCCGCAGGCAGCAGGGGCGGCTGCTGCCTTGTCATGTCTCACTGCTGGGAAAAGAGGCATTCTCTCCAAGAACCCCAGCTCCACTGAGACTGAGGCCTACATAAGCCTCTGACTTGGTCAGAGGAGGACTATGACCTTGGGTTTGGGTTGGGGGATGTCCCCTTATAAGAAGGGGGAGTTCCACCCAACTTCCTGAATCAGAGCAGAGAAATCGGTAAATCTTTTGCGACCTGGGAGTTCTGTACAGTTTGGGCCTCCTCCCATAAGTGCAACTTAAAGTCTGAAGGAAATGCCATCCACCTCCACCTGAACACAGATCAAAGGGCTTTTTTTTCCTGTTTTTTTTTTTTTTTTCGTTTAGAAAACAGACCTTACAGAACCAGGACTAGCCCAGCTGTTCGGGCAGGGTGACCCCATCAGTGATCTACAACCTCTCTATGACCCCACAACTCCCTTTTCCCATGGAGTTTATTTGATGCATAAAGGCAGTGTGTAATCCCTTCCTCTCTCTGACCACTTATGTGGGATTCCATGGCCACACAACCCTGTGATTCCATGTCTCCCCGATTCCAAGACCCTCCCTGGCCCCATGACCTCTGACCTAAGTGGCCTCCCTGGACCTTGACCCCTGTAACTGTTCTTCCCATCATCCCCCATCTCTCTGGTCCTGGCTCCCTTTGGGGTCTTGTTTGTCTGGGCATCCCCAGGAAGATGTTGGGGAGGTTCTGGCTCCTCCTCCTGAGCTTCCTCACAGCAACTGCAGTTCCTGGACCCTCGCCACGGAGACCATCCAGAGAACTAGACGCCACTCCGCGGATGACCATCCCCTATGAAGGTTAGATTCCCCCAACTACAAAAGGCAGCAGCAGCCAGGGCTACTGGTGGGGAGGCAACCCCAGAGCTGGGCTCACAGCTCCCACTCTCCCCAGAGCTCTCCAGGACTCGGCACTTCAAGAGCCAAGCCCAGAACTACTCAACACTGCTGCTAGAGGAAGCCACGGCAAGGCTGCTGGTGGGAGCCCGAGGAGCCCTGTTCTCTCTCAATGCCCGTGACATAGGAGATGGGGGTCACAAAGAGGTTAGCCCTTGGAACCTGGACCACCCAGAAGATCTCCAGTTTCATCCAGCACCCCCAAATCTCAGCTCCCTGCCAGCCTTCCATAGCCCCCTGCAGATAGCACTGCCCTCCCAGCCTGGGTCTCCATTACAATCCAGTGGTCTTCCTGAAACTTACCTGTACCCAACTTCCTCTGTTCCCTGGGGTCCTGTCACCTGGTCCCACAGGTAATAGGGAAAGGTAAGAGTATTGGGCTCAATGCATCAACCCGTCTCCTTCTAACTTTTTCTAGATCCACTGGGAGGCCTCTCCAGAGATGCAAAGCAAATGTCATCAAAAAGGCAAAAACAACCAGGTATGTGGGCTGCCCTGTCCCAAGCCCCTTTCCTTCTACTCAATTGGGAATGCTGGGGTTGGTGGGGGCACAGATAGAACAATACAAATCAGCCAGTCAGTTGCAGCAACCACAGTAAACACTGTAAACACTACTGGAGTGGCAGGCCCTGGCACAGCCCTTCCAGTTCAGACATCTGGTGACCTATTAGCTTGGCCTGCAATGTCATCTTAATCTCCTCTGGGCTCCCAAATAATAATCGTAATGACAATAAGTAACCTCTGGTAAGTGCTGACTTATCTATTACCTCACCTAATTCTAAAATAACCCTATAAAATGTATTATCTTCCATTTTTACAGAGGAGAAAAATGAGGTTTGGTTAAGGAATAGCCCAGGTACCCAGTATTCCATGGAGGGGTGTTAGTGAAGTGTCAGCCCTTTCTGGCTAAAGAACAGGATTTCTGCAAGGGTTCCATGTCTGGCTATATACCGTCCGTCTGCAGAGCTTTTTGAAAAAAACATTCCCAACGTCCACTAGCCCAGGGATTCCTAATTCAGTGGGTCTGGGCTGGTGTTGGGATGGCTGTATTTAAAGAGGCACCTCTAGGAGATTTCATCAAAGGCTGCTTCTTGATGTAGCTTGGGTAGAAAGTGAGTCTTGTGAGGCAGGTGGAGCCCAGGTCATGGAAAGCCATGAATGGCCAACTGAGAGTTTGGGTTTTGTTCTGTGACAGTGGGCACCCTCACCAATTGATACTTAAGAATCTCTCAGTCTTTACTGTGCATATGAATCTCCAAGCTATGTCATGGGTGCAGGTGCTAACTCAGTAGGTCTGGGGAAGGGCCTGAGATTCTACAGTTCTAACTCCCAGGTGAAGCAGATGCTGCTGGCCTCCAGAGCACACTTTGGGTACAAGGCTTTAGGAGAACACTTTCCAAAGTATGTTCTGAGGAACACTAATTGTCACAGAGGAATTTGATGGTTGGATGAGTTTGGGAAACGCTGCATGTTCAATCCCACAATGCACTGCAATACCCATAGGCTCTGAGAACGCCCCCAGAAAGGTGGATTTTACCTGTGGTTTCCAATTTATGTGACCACAGAATTCCTCTCTGGCCCCTGGCACTAGGTGGACTAAAATAGAGTGAGTCTGAAAGCAGAAAAGGCAGTGGGGAGGTCAGGGGCATCATGGGGGTCAGAGGAGGGAGGCCTGAGCAGGCGGGTGGAGAGGGAGAGGGATGAGACAAAGGCCTGCATGGATTCAAACCCAGGTAACAGGAAGAAGGAGGAATCATTAACAGGGCAAAGAAGTTGAGGGCAGCAGCTCAAAGCATCGGACAGGCAGAGTCCAGTGTGGCTGGAGTAGGGTGAGTGAGGCTGGATGAAGGGGCAGGGCCCTATCAAGCAGGGCCCGGAGCATAAGGGGGCCTATGATCAAGCCCCTTGTAAGCCTCTGAAGGAGTTTTAAATACAGCAGTGACACAATCTGGTTTACATTTTTTAAATATGCCTTGGAAAGTGGGTTGCACGAGAGTACTGACCAGTAGAGCATCTCCGGAAGGAAATCAGACACTGGTGACAGCAGTCCCCTTTGAAGGCAGCAGGGATAAAGGAGCTGCCCTGTGTACAACATACCTTTGTACCTTTTCAGTTTTACACTGTGTCCATGTATTTCTCATTCATTGAATAAATACCATTTTTATAAAGAATGGCAGCAGAGGGTTGGGTGGGAGAGCTGACAGGTTGTCTCTGCAGTTGTCTGGGATATAGGTGGTAATGGTCATTTGGACCAGGGTGGTGGAGGTGGAGGGGAAGTGGACCAAGCCAAGAGACACTGAGGACAAAATTTTAATTGTGGAAGAGGGATTAAATGGGGTGAGAGAGTGGGAAGCAGCAAGGATGACTCCTGGATTCTGGACTAATAGGATGGAAGGAGGAAGTGAGGTGGGAAAGACTGGATGAACAGGTTTAGGAGGGAGGAAGAGGTTAGAGAGGAGGGAATGAATTTGGTTTTCGACAAGGTGAGTTTGATCTGTGGAATATCAGATGGAGAGAAGGCCAGAGCCTGGGGATAATAGGTTTGATGGTGTCACCCCAAAGGGACTGTGTGTGCCAGGATTGGGAGACACAGCTGAGGGAGAGATTCTGAGAGAAGCATCTCAGGGTGGTGAGAGCCCTGGAAGCCCCTAAACTGGGGGGGAGGGGGTAAGAGAAGCTGGCAGTGTGTGTCAGGTAATCCAAGAGATAAGAGGAGAGAAGAAGGGTCATGTGTCTAGGAGGCCAAAGGCAGAGAGTTCTAGCACATATTCTGTGTTTTGAGCAGTGAGAAGATCCACCAGGATCTTGGAAAAAACTGTCCTGTGGGTGGGGGCAAGAGCTGGATGACAAAGCTGGACTAGTAAAAGAGGCCTCTAAGTGGTCCAGGGACTCACTGCCCTCCCACTCCTGGCCCACAGACGGAGTGCTTCAACCATGTACGATTCCTCCAGCGGCTCAATGCCACTCACTTCTATGCATGCGGGACTCATGCCTTCCAGCCCCTCTGTGCAGCCATTGTGAGTATGTCTGCCCAGCCCTGATACCTGGTTCCTGCCCCCAGACTGGTCTGACTTTGGGCCACAACCCTGCCTGTCCTCCACACCACTGACTTCTGGCCTTCATTCCCCAAGGATGCCGAGGCCTTCACCTTGCCAACCAGCTTCGAGGAGGGAAAGGAGAAGTGTCCTTACGACCCAACCCGTGGCTTCACAGGCCTTGTCATCGGTGAGCGCACCCTCCTCCCACCCCTGCCTCTCATCCAGCAGGCTGTGGGACATGGATCTCAGCGCTAGGACTTGCCACCCATGTGTGTTGTGTGCCTTATTGGATGAAATACGTCTCTCATGCCCGGCATGTCCCTGCTGCAGATGGAGGCCTCTATACAGCCACAAGGTATGAATTTCGGAGTGTTCCTGACATCCGCCGGAGCCGCCACCCGCACTCCCTGAGGACTGAGGAGGCACCAATACACTGGCTCAATGGTTAGGAGGATGGGACAAAGGACCTGGGGGGCAGGGGACATTCTTCATCTTTGCTTACTTGGGCAGTTGACCATCCCATCCCCAAATCCCCAGGTGAGCTTCTCCGCCTGTAAGTCACTGAGGGCCGGGCAGTAGGGGGACCCCCAGGCTATCTCAGAAGCTACCTTAGCTGCCCAACCCACAGATGCTGAGTTTGTGTTCTCCGTCCTGGTGCGGGAGAGCAAGGCCAGCACAGTGGGTGATGATGACAAGGTTTACTACTTCTTTACGGAGCGTGGTGCTGAGGAGGGCTCTGGCAGCTTTGCTCAGAGCCGCAGCAGCCACCGTGTGGCTCGAGTGGCCCGTGTGTGCAAGGTGAGTAGGACAGAGGTTGGGGCAAAGGTGTAGAAACTGAACCTCTGACCCTGGCCCCTGACTCCATGCACCTACCTCCAGGGAGACTTGGGAGGGAAGAAGATTCTGCAGAAGAAGTGGACCTCCTTCTTAAAGGCGCGTCTCATCTGCCACATTCCACAGTATGAGACACTACGAGGTGTCTGCAGCCTGGACGCTGGCACCTCAGCCCACACGCACTTCTATGCGGCCTTCATGCTGACCACACAGTGGTCAGTGCAGGGACAGTGGGGAGGCAAGGAACTGGGGAGAACATACGGGCTGGAGGAGAGGTCGATGAGGATGAGATAGGATCCATTGTTGGGAGGGCTGGCCGTAGAGAGAGAATTTCAGACCCATCCAGCTAGCCTGGGGCCAGAGGCCACAGCAGCCTCTGACCCTCAGGAGAGACCCTGTGGGCCTGGAGCTGGGATTGGCCATGGTAACAGTGGGCTCCAGGCTGGGCAGTGGGGCAGGCTCCACTCAGTGTGACTCAAACCCCTCCCCTGTCCCATCCTAGGAAGACTCTAGAGGCCTCAGCCATCTGCCGCTATGACCTAGCTGAGGTGCAGGCTGTCTTCGCAGGCCCCTACATGGAATACCAGGATGGTGCCCGGCGCTGGGGCCGCTATGAGGGCGGGGTACCAGAGCCCCGGCCTGGCTCGGTGAGTGCCCAGGCCTGGGGTCAGTGCTGAGTTCACAGGACCCCTGGGAGAGGAGAAAGGGTCTAGCCTTGTAGGGAGGACAGGCAGGTGATGGAGTCCTGAGGTTCACCACCTGTGCCCCACCCCAGTGCATCACAGATTCACTGCGCACCCGAGGCTACAACTCATCCCAGGACTTGCCATCCCTGGTCCTGGACTTTGTGAAGTTGCACCCACTGATGGCTCGGCCTGTGGTGCCCACACGTGGACGACCCCTGCTGCTCAAGCGCAATGTGCGCTACACACACCTCACAGGGACGCCTGTCACCACGCCTGCTGGACCCACCTATGACCTGCTCTTTCTGGGCACAGGTGCTTCTGTCCCCTGGTCTGAGCCCTCTGCTGATACTGACCCAAATCCTTGATTCCTACTGACCTCTAGCCCCTGGGTGACTCTTGATCACAAAACCCATTGTGACCATTAATGTTGATTCTTCAGTGAACACTTACTCCTCATCCCTGGTGACCACTGGCAGCTCTTGGTGACTGCTGACTCCTGTCACTAACCACAGTGACATTTGATACTGATCACTAATGCTTCTGAACCCAGTAATTCCTGCCATGACTAGCTGGAGTTACTAATGTCATGAGGGCCCCCTGCTTCTGGCTGAATCCTTGTCCCCAACCTCCTGACTCCCACGCTGCTCCCATTAGTCTATTGCAGGGGGCCAAAACAAACTCCATCATTGGGGTCTTACCCTCTGCCCTTTCCATACCAGCTGACGGCTGGATCCACAAGGCTGTGGTCCTGGGCTCTGGTATGCACATTATCGAAGAGATGCAAGTGTTCAAGCAGCCCCAGTCTGTGGAAAATCTGGTCATCTCTCCAATGCTGGTAGCCTCTGACTTATGACCCTTAATATAGCCTTGCCAAGAATGGGGAAGAGAGGGCAGTGGCTGTGCGTGTAAGTGGGAGTGGAATGTTGCCAACTAGCTGTCCTCTCTGGCTCCCAGCATAGCCTCTATGTGGGAGCCTCTAGTGGAGTCATCCAGCTACCGCTGTCCAGCTGTTCCCGCTACCACTCCTGCTACGACTGCATCCTGGCCCGGGACCCCTACTGCGGCTGGGACCCCAGCACCCATGCCTGTGTGGCAGCCACTGTAGCCAACAGGTCTCAGGGTAGCAGGCGGGAGGTGTTCAGGGGTGTGAGGGTTCCATGTGCCCAGGGGATCAGGGCCTGAGGGGAAGAGGGCGACAGGCAGCCATCAGGGGAGTGGAGGCCAGTTGGTAACAGCTCTACTGACTCTTCCACTTGGGGAAGCTGACGCTCAGTTTTCCTTGTTCATGAGTCCTGATCTTCTCTCTCCAGAACAGCACTGGTACAGGACATAGAGAGAGGAAACCGAGGCTGTGAGAGTAACAGGGACACAGGTAAGTGACACTCATGGATATGTAGTGGGCCTGGCTACAAAGCCTGTCCTCTTCGCCATTTACTGCTCCTGCATGTGTGTATCTGAATAGTTGGCTGTGTGCTTTTGGTGAGGATGATCCAGCACAGAGAAAGTGCTCAACAAACATTTGTTGCCCAAAAGAAGTATATAAATGAGGAAACAGGCTCAAGACGTGAAGGTTCTTATCTCTTCTGGAGCTTATAGCCAAGTACTTATGTTTTGGACAGGGTCGAGGAGGAGACAAATGATCACACAAATAATTATTATTATTTGCATTGTTTCTTATTACAAAAGGAATAATTACAACTATGACAAGGGTTTGAAGGGTAATGGATACTTCCCCAAGGAAGAGCAGATGACTGAGCAGGTATCAGAAAGAAGTTCACAATCACAGCTAACATGTACCAAGTACTTCCTGTGTCCCAGGCACTAACGAAGCACACGATCCTCACAGCATTCCCGTGAAAGAGGTGAAGGGGGTCCGTTGCCGTCATCCCCATGAGGGGCACAGAGGGGATACATAATTGCCCAAAGTTAATCAGCCATTAAGCAGTAGGGTCAGAATTAGAACCTGACCCCAAGCAGTTTGACAGGAGTTTGACTCAGAATCTTGGTAAGGACTAGATACAAAAGTGAGGGGGAGAAAGAGCAAGGAAGGCTCCCAGTTTTCTGACTTAAGCAGCTGAGTAGCTAGTGGTGCCATTCAAGGTGATGACAATTCAAGGAAAAGACCTGGTGTCGTTTGGGAGGGAGGCTTTGACCTTAGTTCGTGTGACATGCTGTGGAGGCCTCTCATGGAGATACCCAGCATGTGGAAATACTCAAGTCTTATGGTCAGGAGAGAACTCTGTGCTGGAGGTGGAGATTAGGAATCACTGGCAGATGGCAGGAATTGAAACACAGGGAAGGGCCAGGATGAACCTTAAATGGGAGCAAGAGCCCGTAGAGCTTGGTCATTTGTCACCACGATTTGAGATCCTATGCTTGGTACTGGAGAAATAACAGTGAACCATCTGGCTTGCCATCTCCAATACTCTCCCTGGGGTAGGCAGGCACTGACCATTCCTCCAACCCCCCCCTCCCTCCAGGACCACCACCACCACTGAAGACCCGCTCTGTGCTCCGGGGTGATGATGTCCTCCTGCCCTGTGACCAGCCATCCAACCTGGCTCGGGCCTTGTGGCTGCTCAATGGGAGCATGGGCCTGAGTGACGGGCAGGATGGCTACCGCGTGGGCGTGGATGGACTACTGGTGACAGACACACAGCCTGAGCACAGTGGCAACTATGGCTGCTATGCTGAGGAGAATGGCCTCCGCACCCTGCTGGCCTCCTACAGCCTCAGGGTCCGGCCAGCCACTCCTGCCCCAGCCCCACAAGCCCCTGCCTTGCCTGGAGCACAGCTGGCTCCTGATGTGAGGCTGCTCTACGTGCTAGCCATTGCTGCACTCGGTGGCCTCTGCTTCATCCTGGCTTCCTCCCTCCTCTATGTGGCCTGTCTTCGGGGAGGCAGACGAGGGCATCGACGGAAGTACTCTCTGGGTAGGGCTGGCCGGGCAGGGGGCTCCGCTGTGCAGCTGCAGACAGTTTCAGGCCAGTGTCCTGGAGAGGAAGATGAGGGTGACGACAGGGAGGGGGCTGGGGTCCTGGAGGGCAGCTGCCTCCAGATCATCCCCGGGGAGGGAGCCCCAGCCCCACCACCCCCACCACCCCCACCGCCACCGGCTGAGCTGACCAATGGGCTGGTGGCACTGCCCAGCCGGCTGCGCAGGATGAATGGAAACAGCTATGTGCTCCTGAGGCAGAGCAACAACAGTGGGCCAGTAGGGCCCTGCTCCTTCGCTGAGGAGCTCAGCCGCATCCTAGAGAAGAGGAAACACACGCAGCTTGTAGAGCACCTGGATGAGAGCTCTGTCTGAGCCCAGCCGCCTGGGACAAAGGCTTTTCCAAGCCAGCCTCTCTGTCCCAGGCTGGGCCACTGCCTCCCCAACCGCCACCCGACCTTCAACCCCACCAACTCGAGACCCTTCTCCCAATTTTTTGAGGTCCCTGTAGGGCTGGCTGGCCAGAGTCAGGCCCAGCCAAAGCCCCTCCCTTACTCTCCACAGACCTATCTGTGAGCAGCCCAGGCCAACCGGTGCTCCTCAGGTAATTGTTCCCTCAGGATCAGCCCCAGTTCCTATGCCCTTAACCTAAGCACTTGGGAGGAGAGGACACCATCCTCCTGCCCCATTTGTCTGCTCAAATCCTTTCTTTTTCTTCCAGGCAGGGAGGGCTCTGCGGGTCCAGATGGCCTCAACATCACCACCCTCTGCAGAGCTCAGTCTGCTGGATGGTCCTGAAACCAGATGCTCTGCCAGCTACCAGATCCGCCTGAGCCCTGCATACATTCACATGCACACATGGAGGAACTATCAGCTGGGCTGCAGGGCCCCCGCCGCCACCTCCTGCTGCATTGTTTCATCCCTTCTGGACTTTGGGTGCCCTCCTAATTGCCACATCTCATCTAGTCCTCTCCCCTAGTCCCAGCCCCATGTGGTGACCTCTTTGGCAAGAACTTGGCAATAAGCCAGCCTGGGGAGGTAAGACTGTATCATTCCCCTCTTCTTCCTTAATGTGCAGCCCTTGTGAGTCAGCATCCCCATGGTCACTCTCAAGAGTGACAGAGACAGAGCTCCAGGCATGTCCCCTCCTTATGCACACGTGCTTACATTTCAATTCACATGCATCTTCTGAGCCTCCCCTTGCTGCCTCAGACCTTTGTCTGTCAGTTTGGTTTGGTCCATGGACATTTCAAAGGGAGAGCCCTCTCTCATTTAGCTGTCCTCACAGACACTTCCCTAGGATGGGTGATCAACACTACACTCAATGAGCCAGCCTCCTTTTTGGGGACCAAGCATTTGCTACCCCTAGACCAGAGCAGGGGGAAGAAAGCTCTGATGTCTCACCTGGCACATGAAGCCCATTCTTGGAACTATGCAAAGGGCAGAGGCTGGGGGTTTGGATGCCTGGCTCCCACCCCTGTCCTACCTCACCGGGGCACTTTCAGGGTCGAGAGACTTCTAAAGTCTCCAGGACCATATGGGACAATCAAATCCTGACTGAGCTCCCCCATTCCCCTTGGGTGAGGATGACTGTTATTTTTGTAGCTAAGAACGTGGAATCTCACGGATTTTTACTGCCCTTCACCCAACCTCTTCCACCTCCACCCCACAATGAATGTATTTATTGTGAAAATGGCTATACTTCTTTCAGAATGCCCTCACTCACCACCACAGTGGGTGGAACAGGCATGTGACAGAGTGGGGAGCCTGGGCTCAGCTTCCCTCCCTACCCCCGATTGATTAATAAATAACCCTCTCTCCCCACAGCTGTAAGTGGTCTGCTTGGTCTAGGCAGGCCTTCCCCAGAGGAAGGCTTCTGAGCCTATGAAAATGGTATTGCAGGGTTGGCCCTACTCTCCATAAACTATGTGCAGAGGAAACCAGGATCCTGCTTTCATCCTGGCTGCACTGGGCAGATAGAGACCTTTTCACTGTCCTCTAATGATGGTGATAAGGGCATGACAAACAAAATTACAACAGTTAAAGAATTCATACAAAGCTTTCTAGGTTTTTACCTACTGGCTCTTTTCTTTAATATCCCCTCTTTTAGCCAAGCCTAGAAAATGCTCCCTGTTTATCAGCCCTCTTGTTCTTCCCCAAGAAGCTTGTCAGTACCTCTCCTCAACCCCACAAGGGGCATGAATTCATTTCTGCGCAAAGGCGCCTGTCTGGGCAAAGCAGTTGGGACCAAGGTAAGCGTGTTACCAGGGACTTGGCCTGAGACTCACTCTCTCCAAGGGTCAGGCCCAGACTAATCACATGGCCTTTGATACTAACCACCCAGAGGGTTATTACACATTCTGCTTCTGGTTTTAGGATAATGAAAAAATGGTGTTGTATTTTAAATATACACACAATTTGAAGTAAGACCTCTTGTGTGACCTTGGGCAAGTTTATTAATCTCAGTTCTCTAAATGTACACATTCACACAGATACAAAGTGTCTGGCCCAATGCCAGGCTCACAGCAGACTATAAGGTGCTAGCTTTCTCTAGCTTAAAGGTTGCAGAAAAAGGACATCAGGTACTCTTCAGAAGCCAGCCTCGAAACTCCTGTGATTTGAGATCACAATTACAAATTTGGATTTCAGAAATGAGGACCCTCAAAATCCTTGAAGACTCAGATTTTCAGGGACCTCAACTGGATAAGAATTTGAAGACTCACAAAGTCACTGACCTTCACAGTGAGCACCAAAAAGGCAGCTTTATCCCAAGCAAAGCTTTGGCCTTCAACTTCTTTGGTGGGCACCATCACCCTGCCTGGGCTTGGAATCCCCTGAACTACAAGAGGAATAACTTCCTCTACTGGAGAAAGGGTCCAAAGCCTAGGATCGGAGTTGGTAGAGCATCTCTTCACTGCGCTTGCCCTGGGCTGGGGCAGGATCCTGGATCTCTCGGGGACGTAGCGCGCCCAACGTTGTCGGTTTGTTGGTGAAGGGGTGCCACTGGCCCTGGATGCTAGGGTTGTCAGTGTGGAAGGGCTTGCGGATGCGGATCACGTCTAAGCCTGACTGGTCCGCCAGCTTCTGTACGAGTGTCGCGATCTCCTCTACCGACTTGCAATGGATACTCTCCTCGCGCAGTGCCCCGTTAACTGGCCAAAGGGAAGTGTAATAAGAGGAAGGCAGATCAGGTGTCAGACGAGAGGAAGGCGAGCCCACCCCCCACCCCCACCGTCAAAGCCGCCCTCCAGCCCTCGCCTGGCCCCACTCACGGTATTCAGCCACTACTCTGGGCACACTGCACGGCCTCGCGTTCACATATATTACGACCCCCGGGTTTCGGCGGGCGAAGTCGGTCACCTCCCTTTCCACGAACTCCCTAAGGGACACAAGAAAGGTGAGCACGACGACTCCTGACTCGAGGCGACCTCTGCTGGGTCGCACACCCGCGCCCTTCGCCCGGCTCACCTGGCGCCGCGGGACGAGGGCCCGTCGCGGCTGAGGCTAAAGCTGAGCCGCTGCAGCTGCTGCACGTAGCGACCCATGCCGTTGTGGAGAACACTGGTCAGGAAGCGGCTCGGGGTGCCGCGCGCCGTCATTGCTACGGCTCCCAGGGCTTGGGGCTGAGCCCGAGGAGTGGGGGAGGACTGCCCTTCCCCGCGAGCCTTCCGGTTCCGGGAACACCCGCTCCCCCCGCCCCCCGGGAGTTTTGCTTCCGAGGTCAGAGCGAGTGGCGCGCGCGAGTGACCCATGTTGCTGGCGAAAGGGGTGAGACCAGAGTGGTGACGCGGGGTCAGAGTCAGAAGCGGCGGGGCTCCTGGTGGTGGAGTCGAAGGAAGGCACTGGGGCGGAGGCGGGGCGGGTGTCCCTTTGGCGCGGAGATTGGCGGGAGCCGCCCAGGGGCTCCCAAGACGTCTTCAGGCCCCTCTCAGGGAAGGAGCGACGAAGAGGGCCTCTAGTTGGGGGCCTAGGGCAGAAGGTCTACAAAAAGGACACAGACATCCGTGGAGATGAGGACGACGACGAGATTACGTGGAGGGGCTGTAGTGAAGAGATGCTGTAGAGAAGTCATTGGTGAGGGGCGGTATGGAGGGTCGGAGTGGTGAGGCGGTCGGGGGATAAGTTGTAAAGGCCCTTCGAGGTAGGGAACGAGGTAGAGGGACACAGACGTGACAAGGCCATCTAGGTGGACACAGCTGTGAGGCGTAGAGGGGCTGAAGAGGATCCAGAGAGGTGTTTATGAGGGAGCAGTTGGATGAGAGAAAAACGCCACCTAGAGTCAGCTCTGTAAGGTGCTGTTGGAGGGTCCCTGGGGTCTGACCTCGTGAAAGCACCTCAGCCAGGCACAAGAAGTCATTTCAAGTAGTGACTTCCTCGATTTGACTAGGAATGTGGGTCCTCCTCCGAGGTGGGTACCCTCTCCGTATCCTGCTGCCCCTGCGTGGGGAGTGGATGGGTCGGAGGGGCCTGCCCCGGAGCTTAGTTCCAGGCTCTCCACGAAGACGGTATAGGAAGGAGGTTCTTCCAGCCTTGGAGATACCAGTGTTGCCTGTAACCGCAGCTGAAATCCGCCAATATTTGCGAGTGCATGGGATCCCCTTCCAGGATGGCCACAGCTGCCTGCGGGCACCGAGCCCCTTTGTGGGGACCTCACAGCTCAAAGATCAGACTGGCACTACCACTTCCTTCAGCCTCTTCATTGACAAGACCACAGGCCGCTTTCTCTGCATGACCAGCTTAGCAGAGGGGAGCTGGGAAGACTTCCAGGCCAGTGTGGAGGGGCGAGGGGATGGGGCCAGAGAGGGGGCCCTGCTTAGTGAGGCCCCAGAAGCTGAGGACAGTGAGGAGGTCCGGAGGATCTGGGACCGAGCGATACCTCTCTGGGAGCTGCCTGAGCCAGAGGAGGCCCAGGTGGCTCGTGTGATGTTTGGCCTTACCAGAGTGACAGATGACACACTCAAACGTTTCAGTGTGCGGTATCTGCGGCCTGCCCACAGCCTTGTCTTCCCTTGGTTTTCCCCTGGAGGTTTGGGATTACGAGGCCTGAAGCTACTAGGAGCTGAAGGCCAGGGGGATAGAGTGCACTACGTGGAGACCACTATTCCCCGGCCTGGTGTCTACCACAATCTGTTTGGATTACCACTGATCAGTCGTCGAGATGTTGAAGTGGTACTAACGAGTCGTGAGCTGGACAGCCTGGCCTTGAACCAATCCACAGGGCTGCCCACTCTTGTCCTACCCCGAGGAACGACCTGCTTACCCCCTGCCTTGCTCCCTTACCTTGAACAGTTTCGACGTATTGTGCTCTGGCTAGGGGATGACCTTCGGTCCTGGGAAGCTGCCAAGTTGTTTGCCCGAAAACTGAACCCCAAGCGATGCTCCTTGGTGCGGCCTGGGGACCAGCAGCCCCGCCCCCTGGAGGCCCTGAACCAAGGCTTAAATCTGTCTCGTATTCTGCGTACTGCCCTGCCTGCCTGGCACAAGTCTATCGTGTCTTTCCGGCAGCTTCGGGAAGAGGTGCTAGGAGAACTGTCAAATGTGGAGCAGGCAGCTGGCGTACGCTGGAGCCGCTTCCCAGACCTCAATCGTCTCTTGAAGGGACATCGGAAGGGCGAGCTGACCGTCTTCACAGGTGACTCTTTGGGAAATTACTCCATGGGGTAGGAGGCTGAGGATCAGGAGATGAAAGCATTTGGATTTGAGCCAGGGTAAATGTTGAAGAGGAGGCTTTCCCTTCCCAACTTTGAAGCCCTGCTCTATATCTTGGTGTCAAGGATAGGATGTTCTCCCTCACCCAGGTCTGTGTTCAACTTCCCTGCAGGGCCAACAGGCAGTGGCAAGACAACATTCATCAGTGAGTATGCCCTAGATTTGTGTACCCAGGGGGTAAACACACTATGGGGTAGCTTTGAGATCAGCAACGTGAGACTGGCCCGGGTCATGCTGACACAGTTTGCTGTGGGGCGGCTGGAAGAGCAACTGGACAAATATGATGAATGGGCAGACCGCTTTGAGGACCTGCCCCTCTACTTCATGACTTTCCATGGGCAGCAGAGCATCAGGTGAGATTCCTAGGCCTGGGATTTTCAGAGAATGGGAGGGCAGGAGCACACACCCCTGAGTGTTCAGGATGCCAGCTTTCCTACCTGGGATGGTCCTGAATTTATTGCCTCTTCCCTTTCCTAGGACTGTAATAGACACAATGCAACATGCAGTCTACGTCTATGACATCTGTCATGTGGTCATTGACAATCTGCAGTTCATGATGGGTCACGAGCAGCTGTCCACAGACAGGTGACATCTTCTTGTCTAGCTGGAACCCTCTTGAACCCACATCTTCACAGGCAGCTGGCTTCTGGGCACACATACTTCTCGTTTTCTGACGTGTGCCGGCACATACCACTCCATGTGTATTTCTGTCTATATAGAGGTGTGGGGTGTGGACAGGGACCTAAATGTGAGTCCTTGGGTAGAGTGAAATAGGGTGGGGTTGTCCAAAAAATGCATATATTTTTCGTCCTTCTGCCTGTGTCCATAACCTCTTTGCTTAATTGGGGCGGGGGCAGGATTGCAGCTCAAGACTACATCGTTGGGGCCTTTCGGAAGTTTGCTACAGACAATAGCTGCCATGTGACACTGGTCATTCATCCCCGGAAGGAGGATGATGATAAGGAACTGCAAACAGCATCTATTTTTGGCTCAGCCAAAGTAAGTGGTCTTTAGAGGAGCCCAAGCTTTGGGAAATAGAAGGGTCAGATGTGACCAAAGACAGCTCTCACTCAGCCTTAAATCATCTTGACTGTTTTTCTGAAAGAAGTAGGAGACAGCTGCCTCTGGGGCCATCACATGAAGAATGTGCATGCTAGGAATACAATGGCTGATGATAGTTGGTCATTTACCCTCATCCTCTAGTAGCGAAAACAGTGAGATAGTCATTACAACTCAGTATAAGAGCTATGATAGGCAGCTCAGGTATTTGGGGAGCAAAAAGAAAAGACATCTGAGTCAGCCTAAGACATCTGGGAAGACTTCCTAGAAGAGGTGTCAACAAAGGTTGGGTTGAGTTTTGGCAAACAATACATGCTAAATAATTCAATAAATGGGAGGGAGGGCCTTCTGGGCAGCAGGAACAGCCTGATCCTGGAGCTTCCAGTGGTAACACTTAATGCCTATTACATGCCAGGCCTGGGCTGGACACAAGGAACCCAGGGTGAGGAGCACAAACTGTGTGCCATGATGGGACAAACATGGAGCTGGGGAAGCGAAAAATACAGAAGTGGAAAGATGGTGGTGCCTTCTTCATTTACAGAGACCAAGAATGGTCTCAGATACAAAGTGTGACATTTAGACCGAGATGAATGATAAGCTGGGGTTGAGTGGGGTGGCAAGCTAGAGGACAAGTGTCATATGCAGCAGGAATAACATGTACAAAATCTGGGACAGCAGCAAGGTTGCCAAGGAACTGAAAAACTCCAGTGGCCCCAGCACCATGATCAGTAGTTTGGAGTATTGCCATTCCTCTCTGCACCCTTGCCGCCCTCTTTTCTCTTCTTTCATAGGTCTCTCTGCTTCTTCCTCCTGCCCCCTCTTCTCCAGGCAAGCCAGGAAGCAGACAATGTTATGATCCTTCAGGACAGGAAGCTGGTAACTGGACCAGGGAAACGATATCTTCAGGTGTCCAAGAACCGCTTTGATGGAGACATAGGTGTCTTCCCACTTGAATTCAACAAGAGCTCTCTCACCTTCTCCATACCACCAAAGAGCAAGGCCCGGCTCAAGAAGATCAAGGATGACAATGACCTAGTGGCCAAAAAGCCCTCTTCTGGCAGAAAGGGGACTGTGCCTCCAAAGTCTGAGACTTGCTTGGGCCAGGTCCCCAACCCCTACCAGCCAGACCCCCCCAAGTCTTCAAGGTGAAGACAGCACAGAGCTAGACACTGACACAAGTGTTTCAAGACAGGACAGGCTGGGGCCTGGCCTTTCTTGGCCCTCTGCAAGGGCTGCATCTGTCCTGCAGTCCTGAGCTAGGGACTCTTCTCAGTCTGAGGGGCCTAGCCTAGGACAGGGCTCCAGAGTGAGATAATTCAGTTTAGCAGATATTGGGAAACTGTGTGCCAGGCTTCGTTCTAAGTCCAGGGAATACAGCACTGACAACAGATGAGGTCCCTGCTTCCATGGAGCCTGTAATCTGGTGGGAGACCAGACATGCAATGGACAAATGAACATAAAGCAAAATTTTAGATAGTGAAAAGTGTTTTAAAATAAAACCAGTAGTATGATAGTGCTAACAGCTAATTTAGTTTAAGGTCTGAAAAGGTATCTTGGAGCAGAGGACATTTAAGCTGAGGCCTAAAGAGCTAGGATTGAGCCATGTGAACATCCGGAAAAAGTGGGATCAAAGCAGAGGGAAAAGTAAATAGAGGCCCTGACGTGGAAATGAGCAAGTTGAGTTCAAAAGTGGGATCAGGTCCCCTGAGCCTGGAGGGGAATAAAGGACTTCTTGCCAAAGTGCCAACCTGGGTTTTCAGAGCCAAAGGGTGACCTAAGCTTCTGTGTTCCCTACTCTGGGGCCTGCCATGAGGTGGCATTCACTACCACCAGATGCCAGGTGCTTGGCACTGTAATAGGTTCCTAGACATGGAAGCTTGGCCAGAGAGCCACAGGAGGTAGCTCTGAGTCCAGGGTGCCTACCACCTGGACGCTGACTGCATGGTATTCTGACAGAGACCACTGGAGTGGATGCAGTCAGGACTTTTGTAGAGCCTTTTCTACTTTAATGAAAAAAATTTTCATTGCTTTTGTTTTTGTGCTTCTTTATTTGTCCACCAGGTGTCTCCCCAGTCTATAACTGGATTTCCTCTTTGAATTGAGTGGATGGGTCCCCTCCCCCACGTCCAGTCTTTGAGCTGTGCACTCCCAAGGAAGCAGGGGCTTTCAAGGAAGGGCCTTACACACACACACCCTTACCCCTCTTCTTGGCCTAGGAGAGACAGTAGGGTGCTTCTTTATCCCTGTCTTCCCTGAGGATCTATCTACATGTGATCCCTGGCAGAGGTGTGGGTCACTGAGTCACATGCCAAGGCCCTGCCTGACCAGCTGACCTCTGTGATGTGAGCCACTCACCTCTCTCCATGTAGACTCAGGCTCAGCATGTTCTTACCTGACCTGCCATTCCATTTCCCTCCTGTACCTTCTCCATGTTTCTCTTACATTAACGTGCATCAGAACTCCTGGAGATTTTGTTAAAAATGCAGAATCTAGGCCTTGCTCTCGCCCCCCAGTCATGATGCACACACACAGTCACTGCTAATTCTGGAGGTTTGAAGAGACAAATTTGAAGGAATTTTTAACAAGGCATGAAAGGAGAATGAAAATAGATTATCCTAAGACCTCGTCAGAAATACTCCTAAATGATTACACTTTCCCATTTCCTTCCTCTGACATCCTGAAGTCCCATTTACCCTTCAGATTTGCCTGTAAGAGGAATGCAAGATGTTCTGAGGGAGCTGGGGAGAAAAACTTTTCTAGGGGCTGAGGGAGAGGGTTGCCTCAACTGAAGAGGGAGCTTCTGAGTTCCTGAGGAAGGTGGAAGGATCTGGGGTCTCTAGTCTTTTGAGAATAGTGGCTACAACTGTCCCGAAACAGGCCGTGGAGCAAAGCTGTTCTCTGGGGGTAGGGAGAAGGTACCTCCTACAGGGCCTCCCTCCTTGGGGGTCTCTTCCAGACTGGCTGGAGCCAGGCCTCCTAATCCTTCAGTAATCATTCCCAGCCGTTGGCTGGTCTAGGCTTCATCTAGGGTCTATGTAACACTGAACATCAGGCATGCTTTCCAGATGCACACCACCAGGTTATTCTTACCATAAAGACATGGTTTCCACTTTCTGGTCTTTCAGAGAATGACTGGTGTGTTCTCAGAAAATCCTCTAGGTGTTCCCATTAGGGGACCTTTGTGAGATCTTTCTCAATTGGGGATAGAGGGATAGATACACTTGCCTGTTTGTCTTGCCCCACCCTCACAGGCACTCCCACATAGCATAAACTAGAATGATGGGAGGGGGAACTAATTTCCCCTACACACATTTCATTGGGCACCTCTGTTAGACTCCTCACATCGAGATTAGCCCAAAGTACGTTCAGGAGGCCCTGAAACCTAAAAAGCAGTGGAGAATTGGGGCCTCTGTAAGGGCCCTGGGAGCTGCTGTCTCTGTACCCAACCAAAATGGATTGAGTCAAATTACCTGAACAAGGACCAGGTAATCCTCTGCCTATGTCCAAATGGATGTTAAGAGTCCCCCTGAGAGCTCGGGAAGAGCATGGCCAAGCGGGGTCCAACTGGATGCACAGCCCTGTCCGTCTTCAGATTCAGTGTCATACTTGGTTCTGAGGGGTCAGCTCTGGTCCTCCTACAGCTTCTTTACTATGGACAGGATTGAAAAGGGACTAAATTCACTGGACTCCAGCTGCTCAAGTAAATCAGGCTGCAAAAATGGCCCAGATACCTGCAGACGTTAACAGTTAATGTGCCTTTCACAGGCTGCCTTGGGTGCCCTGGAGGGAAGCAGCTCTAAGTGCCTCCTGGCAATACAGGCCAACTTCCTGTTTGTGCTTGTGGGTGGAACTTTATGAGTCTAAGGGAAGCTTGGCCATGCGTTGTGGGGGGCCAGAACGTTCTGGCAGGCCTGCTCACCCGGGGTAGACACCTACTACAGGGCACGGGGAGGTGCTGGTTCTGCTTGGGCAGCCCCCAATTCAAGGTGTGTTTGAGGAAAGGAGGAGTCTGTTTTGGTGAAACTCGAGCCGCCTTTGTCTGCTTCCCTGGGGTTTTCCCCGAGTCTGGGGGAGTGGGCTGAGAGTGGACCAGGTTTGGCACCCTACGGAGAAGGAAAGGTGGCAGTACAGCCTTACAGCTAGCTTAGTTAGGGCAGCCAGGTAGCTTAGCTCCCTGTCACGTGCCACTGGTCCCTTCTCCAGGTCGAAAGCCAAATCCAGTAAGCTGTTAAGTCGGAGGGCAGAGGGACAGCCCTGGGCCACGATCGACCTAAGGCAGGGCTGGGCATAGGGTCGGCTGTGGAGAGGGTGCTGGGCAGACCACTCCCCTCCCTGAGTCGGGGGCGCGGCCTCAGCCGCCCCGCCCCCTACACCAGGCCTGGCCCGGCCAGGCGGGCGCCCGGAGTCCGGATCCTGGAGCCGGGTTGGGAGCTGACAGACCTGCGGGGAAGAGGTGCTCGCGGTGGAACAGGAGCCTGGCAGGGGCTGGAGCCGAGGCGAAGGTGGCGCGGGGTGAGTGGAGGGACCGCGGAGGTGTAGGGACTCCCGCCTTCCGCATATCCCCACTCCGGAGCCAACTTTCCCGGGCTGGGGAAGTTGCGGGTTGGGGTGAAGAGGGAGGTTCCCACTCTGGAGGGCGCAAGCCGGGAGTCTGAACAGGGAACCGAGACGGAAACTCACATCGACAGGCGCACACACGCGTGCACACAGACTTGGGACACACGAACATGGGACACACGAACACACGTGCACTCAGGAAAGGACGCGCTCAGTGGTTACCCTTACAGTCCCTGGAGCAGCGCCACTGGCCCGCGCGGACCCCCAGCGGACAGGGCGCTCTGCTGTCGCGTACTTGACGGAGGTGGGAGAAAAGGGCTACCCGGTGACCGCCGACGGGGGTTGGGCCGGGTGGGACGCCTCCGAAGGTTCCTGCTTCCCAGCCGCCCGCAGGTGAACATTAAGACGTAAACAGGCGCCGAGCACGTGATCCCTTCGCAGACAAGTGGGCTGAGCTCCACTCTTCCCGGCGTCAGGAGGAGGACCTCCCACCCCGGTTCAGGGCGAGTTTGCAAGGTCCCAGGCCGAGCTGGGTTCCGTTCTCCGCCTCGAAGAGGTGATAAGCCCTCCCCTAGAAATGGGAGCAGAACGCCCCCTGGAGTCGGAGTAGCACAGAAGGATGGGAGATTGTTGGGCTGGGGTGGAGTTACCTGGGCTTCTCCCCTTCTTATCCCGAACACATTCATAGTGCCCCTACCTCAGAAGGTATCGGAGGGGGCGCTATTCTTGATAACAGTATACAGCAGGCCCCGCCGCATGCCTCCAGCCTGCAGCTGCCTGAGCGCCTGTGGGCCCTGTTCTTACTACCAACCTTCTTGCAGAACTGGGAGCTCCCCCTCGCAATGTAGGAGCAGAAAGCCCACTCGTGCAAGAGTTGGGGTCCCCCTTCCACAGAGAATGCATGAACATAAACATCCCTTTAAAACCGGAGTAGGCCTTTCTCCCTCTGATAGAAGGCACGATGAGCCCCCAGGGAATGAGGGAATGGGCAGCGCCCCGGTCTTGCTCCCCGCACCGCCCCCATCCCCCATCCTTCACCCCCCATCCCTACACACATGTTGGGCCCAGCTGCTGCCTGAGCTTCTGGGCAGGCTGCCAGAACGGGGAGGTGGCTCCTGGTGCCCCTAGAGGCTGGGATCGGGGCAAGGCCAGAGAGGGGGGTCTCCATAGTAAGGGAGCTCAGTCTGTTCTTGTGAGGATGAGGGGCTGGGGTGAGCCTGAGAGTGGCTGGGCTGTTTCCCTTTCCAGGGAAAAAGAAAGAAAAACAACCCTTTCCATAGAGCTAAAAATAGAGCTGAGAGCCAGCCAGGGCTGTGGCTTGGGAGGGGGGAGGATTCTCCTTCCTGGAGCAGAGGAGCTCTGGCAGGCCTTGGCCAGGGAAGGGGGTGGGTGGGAGGTAGGGGGAGGCTGGCCTTGTTCAGGGGTGCGGGCATCAGCTGACCTGCCTAGATAACAGAGACCCCTGCCGGAAAGTCTGTGTGGTAGAGTGTTTGTGAAGTACGTATATGTATAAGAAGTTGTCTGACTGTGAATATGACTGTCAATATGTGAACGATGCTTAGAACCCTAGATGTACTTAAGATTGTATAAGATTGTAACTGGGTATGAAAGACTGCTAGTTGTCAAAGACTGTGCACAAGGTGTGGGACACGAGTGTCTAGTGTGAGTTGGTCTGAAAATTATGGAAAGAAGGAACATGGAACCACGTAATGGATGAGACTGATTGTTGCTGCTTAGGACTGAATGTGGGAAAGGTCGTGTGAGTGTTAAGATTGTGTTGTTTGCGAGAGAGTTGGAGTATTTGTGAATCTGCAAAGAATGGAATGTTGTGAGGCTGGTGTCTGGGCAGTAGGTTTGGACCGGCTCACCCCAGTCACTGTTCTGAGACCAGGGGGCTGTCTCTCTCCTAGCAATGACCTCTCTCTTAGCAAGTGACTGAGGGGAGGTTGGGGAGCACAGAGTGAAAGGGTATCTCGCCGCGACCCTCCTTACCCAGAACGTCTCAGGAGACACGGACCCACGCAAGAGACTTTATTATCTGAAAGAGAGAGTGGCTGCCCCAGAGGGGGGTGGGGACAGAGAGAGAGAGGAGGAGAGAGAGCAGCGGGACAGAGAGAGCAGAGAGAGAGGGAGAGAGAGCAGCGGGACAGAGACAGAGACAAAGAGAGCAGCGAGACAGGCAGACACACAGAGACAGAGAGTGACAGAGAGAGAGAGAGAGAGGGCAGCAGCGTGGTGCCTCTTATTGTGGCAGATCCGCTCAGCCTGTTGCTTTGGGGGAGGGTCGGGATGTTTAGAGATAAGGCAGGGTAAGCCCAGTCAAGCCCCACGCAAGCCCAGACATAATTCTCACCCGCTTCTGTGCTTGGGACCATGGGGCAAATGGAGGATAAATTACTATATTCTTACATTGCTCCCTTTTCTGTTTTATAAGTGGTAGAGGATTTGGGAAGGGGTGAAGGTTAGTCTTC